TTTTAATGTGGATTGAGTGATCTGATGGCCAGCAGTCTAATATTTTAATATTATTTTTTCTTCTAGATAGCAAAAATAACTTCGATATTTTGAGTTGTTATCCTTTTAAAGAATCTAATCTTGATTTTTAGAATCCATCTTTAAATAATAATATCCTCTAATAGATTTTGACCATCTTCTTAGCACATCCAAATTCTTCATAATTAAATTAAAATTCTTGCAAATCCTTGATATGAAGCAACTTCAAGCATGCAGCTTTATTGGATGTTCTCTGAAGAAATGTGTTTGTGTGAATAGACCAAGTTTGATAGATAGCATTCCGTATGCAAAAAGAAGTTTTATTGGAAAAAGTAACATTTTTCCAATTAGGATTTACATTTTTATGCACCCAAGTGATTCTTTTGCGACATTTTTTTGAAAGAAATGATTCTTTCATATTATGCTTCAGTATATTTGAGGTTCATATATAAGTTCGTATATATATATGATTCTCACATACATGATAAAATAATACCTCTCTTTCAACTTGAGTTCTTGTCTTTGATACAAAATAATAGAGGATTTGTAGAGAAAAATAGAAGGAGATTTATAGAACCTAACCTAACTGCGAATGATTTATCTTTTTCTTCGAATATTTTGGAATATATAGTTAAATATGTCACTTTCTAGAAAATCAAGCAATATAATTGAGACCTTCTGTATAATGCATTATAGAAGAAGAGCTCTTTTACTTATTCGTTCAAGAGTCTCCGATATAAAAGAAGCTTGTCTCCTAACATACATCGGTATATAAATATGTGCATATACTATGTCTTATGAGACATATACTGTACATTGTATTGTGAAAAGTTACTTTGATGAAATAATGTAATTTAATATCTGAATACTTTATAATTTCTATGAATGCGTCGCTTCACGATCATCAATGCTCGAAGTAATTGCGACCGATAACACAGAGGCCGAGATATCGAAGCTATGTGTAATAAATGCTCTACGCGCGCAAACTATTTCACTGTCAATTACCAGCTGATGGATCACAAGCCCTGTCTCGATTCGCCGAGACGAATCGCTCGAACCAGTGTACTACCCTACCTACCTATCCTATCCTATCTTGAAAAGTTGACTACATTCTGGGTCGATCGTCGCTTCGATAGGGGAGGGAGAGAGAGAGAGAGAGAGTGGAAAATGTCAGTAAAGTGTCGCTGTCCAACGAAAAACGCGAGAAAGTGGTCGGTATTCTTCCATCTGGAGCGAACAGCTCGGGCATATATATAAAAGAAGGGCGAATGGGTATTGGTAAATGGTCCATGGTGACGAGGGCTGCCGAGCTTCCATCGTGGAAGAGCGACAGGAACATTGGGCGAGGAGAGGAGAGTCAAAGGGGGCTGGAAACGGTGAAATACCATTCATTCGCCGGAAGCCTTCCGTATAACTTTCGCGATCATCAGCGGAGGAACGCTTATAGATGGATTCTCTGATGTATACAGGGTGTGCCATTTTGTATGGACATCGTATAAAAATTCTTCAATTAATTTTAATATTCCCAAATATTACTACAGAACACTTAATTATGCAATTATCATTTATATATTATTATAATATATATGTATAGGGTGAGACATGTAAATGACTCTAAATATCTTTTTCTTTGCGTCTCCTATTAAAGGATATATCCTCTAATAAGGCACAACATATCCGAAAGATATTCAGAGAATATCCAGAAGATATTCGAACATCCGCAGGATGTTCTCTGAACGTCTTCGGAATATGTGTGCTGTTAGGGTTTTACACAAAAATGTTTTGTGCAAAAGTTGTTTGATTTTACGAGAAACATAAGGTAGCAATATCAATTTGTTTACAGATTGTTACAGATGGCGTTACTTTCGAAAAAGTATCTCTCGGCGTGTAACACTAATATTCCAAATTAATAAATTGTATAACTTATGGACACATCAAGAAAATTCTAATTAATACATATGGTTAAATTTTCTCGATGAGAGACTACAACTTTTGTTTAAAAAAAAGGTTTTTATTAAAAGAAGTGGTGATCAATAAATTTCTCAAAAGTGGCGCCATCTGTATATGTATGTACATATAAATAAGATTTAAAATTTTGCTAAAAAATTGCATAAATGCAATAAATGTAAGATTCTATTTTCGTTTGCATTTCTCTGAAATTTCATTTTCGAAAATTTTTTATTAATCGTTATAAACAGTAATAGTGCATCTATAATATTGCTCGAAATAAGGTGACACCGGATTGGTCGAATAATTCGCAAATAAAAGACGGCACAATGAATATAGAACACTCTATATATATCGACTGCCTCTCGTCTCTGTAATTTCGTTCCATTAGCGCGTCAAGCTCCCTTCATGCTTTATTGGCGGAAACCACGGCTTTTTGCACGCACAGCGCAGCTTCCGACGCTTCGACAAAGTTAATAATCGCAAGCCTTTCGACAAATCCTAGAGCGCTGTCAAGTTATTTCTGTCGTTCGACATTTATCCTGGGGACGATTAATTGTTCATATCATCCCGAAACTTTTCCACGCACCGGTAAATCATTTGATATATTTGAACGTAAAAATTCTGACTTCTAATGTGTTCAAACTATATAATATTAAATAAAAGTTTTCAAAAGAATTCTTGTAAAGTTAGAAATATTTAATACGTTTGTAACAAAAATAGTTTGACGACAGATAATTCTATTTATTTTTTTACCTATCATTGCAGATATTAGACATTCTGTGAGGATATCCAGAGGATATTCGAATATTCTTAGGACGTTCTCTGAACGTAATCGGGATATGTGTGCTGTTAGGAATCAGTATAAACATTTATCTAACAAAATAAAATTCGTCTGATTATATAATTTTGCTTTTATTCTACTGTTTAATACGAGCGATCATTTATTTTTTATAGAATATTATCAGAAACGAAATAAGTCCTCACGTTTATCTCATTTGTCTCCTCCTGTGCTTTTTCTCGAAAAACCCGTAATGATCGCGCATTGCAAAGAAAATTGTACGTGTCGCATGTGTGTGTGTGTGCGTGTGTGTGTGTGTGTGTGTGTGTGTGTGTGTGGTGGTGTGTGTGTGTGTGTGTGTGTGTGTGTGTGTGTGTGTGTGTGTGTGTGTGTGTGTGTGTGTGTGTGTGGGTATATCTGTGTATGCGGTATTGTTACATTGAAACAAGCCGCCATCGCGTATCGTAAATATACTTACACGCGGTGCCGCAAAGACAGGCTACCAAGAGAAGTTTCTGCAAGAAGGAGAGAGAAAGGACGTGGAAATCGACGTCTTAGCTCGTTTTATGAATCCCCTTTCGAGTACCTTTAAAGGCGCCATCATGCAGTTTTATTTTATTTTATTTTTTCTTTTTTTTCCACAGAGCCCCTTTCGTGCGCCTTACCGCGAGGGCGGGAGCCGGTATCAAAGGACATTTAAAAGTCGCAAGCGACGATTTGAAGGAAAGTTTTTCCCTTAGAATTGCGGAACAAAGGCAGCCACGCCGGTGAGGCGTGATCCTCTTAACGATATTAACGGTTGCGGTCGGATTCGACGAATAAGAATAATTTCTCCGTCACGTGTTCGCCGTGAACAGAAAGCAGCTGAATCGATACGAATGCGCATACTTGAGCTTCATCCTCTTATTTCGAAATCACTAATGATTCTTGAAAGTATACACAAATTGTTAGAGAAAATCTGTATAATATTAACGTCTAACTGTGGAATAATTTTAATACAAGCGAATAATGAAAGACGTGATGTTGTTTTATTTGTTTATATCATAATTTAATATATAATTACTTAATATTTATTTTTTAATATGTATTATAATGATTAACAATAGGATTAAGTGTCTTATAAGTAGGTTAGAATTTGTTTGTATATAGTTTTGAATCATAATTTTTAAAAAATCCACTCAAGTAGACTCGAACTTTAACGAGATTAGTGCGATCTACTATCTATAACCCTTGGAGAAACAAGAGCAGTAATTCTAAATACATTCGAATCAAGTATATTCAAATTTTATGAATACTTATGAGAAATTGTAGGGATAGATAAATGAGTGTGTGAGTTGGATAGAAAGTGTGTGAAGTATAGCAAGTATATTATACATATATACATTTCTTTTATCTATTGTTAGAGTTCGATTACCTGTAAAAATTCGATTCTTTACGATGCAAAGTACTTTGTATTACACGTGCAGGCAAAGTGGCACTTTGTGTGCGTGTTTTCTATGCGGAAAGCGGCCGATTTCCCACGCCGCCATCTAGCGACGACGCGGTGAGTGAATAAGCCGCATTCAAAGCCATTGCCTATGGCTATTCCCGCACCGTGCCGCCGCAAGATGGCGGCGTGCGATCGGCCACCTCGCGCACAGAACGCGCACAAAGTCACTTTGCCTGCTCTTGTAATACAAAATAGTATATGTATCACGTGAGAATTGACAATTGTTCACTCGTGTGTGGGGTGGTCGCACTCGTGACCAATTGTCAACTTTCCGCACTTGATACACAATATACTATTAAATACTATTTCGAACTTTGCAGGTGTACTTATAATCTAAAATTCGAATATAACTGTTCTAGATTTGACAATATATATGAAATATTATTTCTTAAATTATTACTTAAATCCTAGAAAATAAAATTTATCAAATAATTAATAAAATCATAAAATAAATAAAGGTGCTCTCTCTAGCAAAGCTAATTCTATCAAAGCTTAACTTTATGAAAGTCATCGAGAGAGAGAAAAGTTCTTTTATTATCTTAAGTATTCTCGATCGACGCAATTGCGGCGCGAATATAAAGGCGGATAAGTGGACGATTCTGTCCGCAGTCCTCGGACTGTGTTTATCGCGGCACGAAGATACTTTTTGCTTATCGGAGATCGAGCAATGCCAAACGGCTGCAAGTGCTCTCCTCATTCGCGAATCCTTGCTGCCGCGAAGTGGCTGCGGAATTTGCAACAGCGATGCAGCTGCATCCCATTCAAGCACACGTATGCGCACGTCGCATAATCGAAATGTACTGTCCGTGCTCTCCTCCACCTGCTTATCTATCCCCCATTCTCCTTTCTCTTTCTCCCTTGCATCTTCCTCCCTCTCACCCTACTCCCTTCTGTCTCTTTCGCTCCTTCGGGGTAAACGAGCATCCTTAATAATGCACAACACGATTCTACTCTGGATCAAAGGATCCTCGTGTTCGATCACCGCTAAGTTAAGCGGCTCAAGATAGATATGGAAATTCCGCGGGAGACCGATTTAATGGATCACTCTATATATTCCGCGAATTTCTGGCGCGCATCCTTGTCTGAGACATACGGTCTTATCTACCTGCCCGCTCATCACCCGATTAAGACATTACTATGCTTGACATCTGACTTCGAGATTTCATGATGCTCTCCTCCCCATGCTTATATATTCCCCCTTTACTATTCCTATTCTCTTTCTCTCCTTCTATTCATTCCTATTCCTCTCTATCATATCCCTAACTTTAGATCTATCTTATCAATATCGATCCTACTCTGGTCCAACACTAACATACCCCTGATTATAATGCATCTATGCATAACGATTATTCTGTTGCCTTATAGTCATTAATGGAGATTCCCTCCCGCTTGTGATTACATTAATTTCCGCTATATGAATTTCTAGATTCCTTGATTATAATGTGATTTCGATATTAATTCCGCGGGATGAATTATTTTGGCATCCTATTATCTTTTTCGAATTACCTCAGCGGATCTTTCTTATCTCTCCTGTTCAATCTTAGTAAACAGCGTATTTATTACCTGCCCTTCTAACATCTACACTCAATAAAGTAGAAGCTTAACATCGACAAGAACGTGGTTTATAGCGATTAAGTATGATTGCCAATATGAGATTACTATAGATTACTTGTTAGATCTAATCTTGTATGTGGATAGTAGAAATAATCTTCAGAAAAGATATGTTAAGAGTATATTTCAAAAGATGTACTACATAGATATATAAAATAATATATAAATATAAGATAAATCATATATAGATCATATATCTATATAAAGATATATATGAAAAATATAAAGAGAGATTTTCGACTCGTTAGTTTTTTATAATCATATTAAAAAATATATAATACATAGAATTGTGCGCGTAAGTATATTTAAAAAAATTACAATATCTTATTTTAAAAATTATTTCCTTATTAGAAAACCTATATATACCCTGTTTTAATAGGCGCCAAAGAATGATTTTATCTTAGAGGGAATCCCCTAAAAATATTAGTATCGAATATTTCTAATTTATAAAAATGCAAACGAAATAGGATTTATTTTTACATTAACAACGAGTATATTATTTTACAACTGACAGCCAAGAAAAATCATCAAGAAAATATAAACATAATACATATATAGCTCGAGATACGAAACTAAATGATAACGATTAAATTAGGTTATGTTACGCGATATATACTTATTCGTAGGAATACTTCTTAAGTCGCTTGAATTTTCTTTTTTAAGCTATTTATATTTATTTTTCTAATAAACTGAAATCATTTAGTGACAAATACTGCACTGCATTGTAAATTGCAACACTCTATCATCATATACGTTGCTGCAACAATACCGTTGTTATTTACAAAGAATATTTTCTTAGTTTTTAGAAGGATGTTTGTCGAAACACTTAAAATATCTGTTGAAAAGGTTTTACAGTATACCTTTTACTTCGAGAATACAATCTTTTCATGTAGAAAATGTGTTTCTATGATATAATATGTATTTAACTGTATCGCTGTGTTATTTCTCTAAATGAAGGCAAAATACTGCTTAAACGAACCGTTAAATCAGCCAGTTTTTCATTAATTACCATCTCAATTACATTGATACACTTTTGGAAGAGAGAAATGCGACGGTCAAAGGGCGGATAATAAATTAGCTTCCCGAATGCGGAATTGGAAATTCCATCGGGTCACTTGGTTAATTGTACGTACGCGTTCATCCAATTTCTAATCCATATACGTCGGCTATGTATTCGGACTTCTACGCGTATAGTTTTTACATTTGATGTAACTAGATATGCGCCAGATACGTATAGAAATTATATTCACGTCGACCTTCTAATTATATTCCGTTGATATTTTATAATTAAAACTTTTTTTTACTTTGCTTCAGGATCGAAGATACACAAATTGGACGAATATACATGTTTCCTATATAGATTCGCACAGTGTATATACGACGAAGAAAAATTAATTATAGTCAATTTTATATTGAATGATCTTACGAAACGTGCATTAATTTTTTAGTTATATAAGAATATTAAAATAACTATAGCAGTAAACTTTTGAAATTTATTAATGGAGCATTTTATTAATTTAATAATACATTTTAATTATTAAAAAAAATATTAAACTATTTAAAAAGACAATTTTTTAATCAGAGTAATGAAGTTTAAATTATTTTAAATGAATAAAAATGCTACCATTCTAAATTTAATAACTCCAAAATAAATATTAAGATTGCATATAATGCACTTTTAGTAAAAAATCAATCCTTTTTAAACCATTATTTGCGAATCGCAATTTCGTGCTATTTATGTATTTTAAGAGAATCAAGATTAAAAATTCATAACGTTATACGCATGTGTGAAGTAGATATTGTATATAGTATAAATCTACGTATGTACATACATTATACATATATATAACATTGTAATGCTCTAGATTGTAAATATTATATTACATTCTGATATTTCTGTTTTATCGCAAAAACGTTAGTAAATATCGTACTATGTTTTATTGCACGTCATACAATATTATAATATTTAATAATGGGGTTATGTATTTCACAAGTAGATTCGAATTTGTATTTCGAACTCTTCATCATTACTTCAAAAATAAAAAGCGGTACTTCCAGTAGACTCAATCCTGGACGAGATAGAACTCTTTATAATATATCGAAAAACAAGAACAATATAAACACTTCAAGTACATTCGAACCTGCATCAAATTATATTCGAATCTTTCATAAATAAATATTTACGTTGTTACAAATCAAAATATTAATGTTATATAAAACTATTTCATATATAACTTTTATTATAATTTAAACTTTTTTACAACAATAAAAAGTATAACACAAATATTTAATACATATATGTATGTAATATTTAATATATAATATTAATATATAATATATAATACATATATAAATTAATATTTATAATATTAATATATATATATATGTATATATATATATATATATATAAATGTATATAAATAGTATATAATATTTAATAATATTTCATATTCTTGTGAATATTAGGTGACTGTGGACCTGGGGAAAGATGCGGAGTTTCAGTGTTCCGTCACCGGTCAGCCACATCCGGTAATCTCATGGGCAAAGGATGGTCTTCCTATACGCGAAGGATCGTCGGGTAGGAGCAAGATTACGGGTAACGATGGCTCGACGTTGCGCATATCTTCTATCGTGCGGGATGACAAAGGGATGTATCAGTGTTTCGCCAAAAACGACTACGAGATGGTACAAGCCACGGCCGAATTGCGTTTGGGAGGTAAGGATTGTTCGAACGTAATCTCTTATTCTCGTAAAAAAAGTCTATCTAAAAACTGCTTTGATCCATTTCGATGGTTTTTATCAATCATGAAATTTTCAAAAGTCATGCTTTAGTGGTAAAGTAAACCAGTGTAAAAAAATAAGCTCTAAAATAAAATAAATTAAGAAAATATTTTCTTTTAAAAATCACTAATCTAAAAAACCACGAATCAATTTTTCGACAGTTTTTATCAGTCATGAAACTTTAAGAGTATAAAAACTAAATCAATGTTAAAAAAAAATTAAAAGTTGAAGCATATATAAAATTTTAAAATACTTTCTTCTTAAAAATAATTAATAATCCTTTTTCGATGGTTTTACCAATCACAAAACTTTAAAAAGTATCATACTGAAAAATTGTGATAAATCGAAGTAAAAAAAATTGAAAAAGAAAGTGTCGAAAATTTTTTAATGTTTTTTAAAAATATTATATTGTATTTTTTTTTACCAAATTAAACTTATTTATTAAATGTGTGCTTTTATATTATAGAATATAAAGCTTACTTAAATAATTAATGTTATTTTTATACATAATTGTGCGAGATATATCTTAATAAAAAGCATACATATGCAAATCACTATCTGGAATTTCTTTTTTTTTCAATTCTTGTTTTAATTTCCACTTTCTGTTCGAAACAGAAAAAGCTGGAGAGATACGTTTTGAGGTATAGTATAGTAATATAACGGATGTATTTAAAGTACCATATACGAACCTCGATAAGGGAGGAGATAGGAAAAAGGGGGTTAAACGCGGACGAGCATCCGCGCAACTTTGCAAAGTTTTATGAAAGTTCGCTCCAGAAAATAATAAGACTAAATTAAGGCTATTAACGGTACACCATTAACCGGCGGAAAACTCCTATTGCCAAAGTTTTGTCTCTTCTTTCCTTCCTTTTTTGCGACTTTTCGCAGTTTTTATCGACTGTTTTAAGCTACGAGTCCGTTAAGTAGACAAAAGCATTGCCAGGAAACCGCCTTATTAAGCTACTGAACGACGTATTTTTTAATTAAGGTTCATCCATGCGACGCATCCAGCTTTTTTTATTCAATTACGTGCAAGCACGATAGGAGGAACATGAAATGGCGTAATAATTTATATCGGATTACAGAGACAGCTAAAAAATAAATTTTTCGAAAATATTTGTCTATGGCGAAAACTGATATTGCTAGAATGCAGTTTCAAAATAAATGAATTTTTATCGGACAGAGGAAAAAAAGAAATAAATAAATTCATTCATTTTACGATTGTACATTCCTAAAATTATTACTATTACTATGCTATAAATATAAATATAAATAATATCACTAATATATTAATAACTTAAAAATATTGTTATCAATAAAAAGTATATTTTTACTAATTTTTTGCATGAATTATAAAATCAGCTTTTAAAAAAGTATTATTTATTCCGAATGCATCACGGATTAAATTCGAATTTCCTAGCCAGAAAATCAAAAGTTCCGAGAGAAATGTTCGGAGGTGGGAATTCTCGGCGTATATTAGAGATCCCTTTCTTCGCCTTCTCGTTCTTGAGCCAAGATCTTGTTCAATAGGTGCATCGAATTCCTTCATCGGCGCAAGTCGATTGTTCCTAGAACTTAGGGTTCTCTAGGACACAAGCGACAAGCGCGCAGGTACACTCTCTCGCATACAGATCGACCGAGGAAAATAAGGCGGCGAGTTAGAGAGGAATACTCCCCGACATACCGCGAGGGGTTGACGGGGTGGGTGAAATGTGCGGGCTTCGAGATAAAAAAAGGGGGATGAAAGGGAAGAAAAGCGGAGAAAATGCTTAACGAGGGCGATGCATAATGGAGAAAGGAGAAATCCACTAGCCGGCGTGCCGTGAAATAAATACGCGCCATTTGTCTTAGTCAGAGGAGAGGTAGGGGTTTCGGTCGACCGGAGAGAGAATGGAAAGAGAGGTGAGAAAGAGAGCGGGAGTGAAGAGAGAGAGGGAGAATCGCGGGCCAAGATGAACGTGGACGAATATTCCGTCGTGTCGTCGTCGTCGTCGTCGTCGTCGTCGTCGTCGTCGTCGTGTCTTTCCACACGTACTCGTCGCCTTTAAAACGTTGGCAGAGAGGACGATGGGCGGTTGTTTTCGTGCGACATAATCCATTACCTTAAACGACCGCGGTCGAGTCTCGACGTCTTAAGATGCCCGTGCGAGGACGGATGCGGACCCGTTCGGACACCTTCACATTAGTTTCCGCCGTCTCCGTATCGTTTGGATTAAAAGGATTATAAATAGAGAAAACTCGGGGTTGATATATAGAATTGTTTTTATTGATATATTGTATTCACAGTAAATGTAAAATTTTCAATAATTTATAAATCAATTTAAAAAAAAATAAAATCATACTTAGAATGTAAATATAAAATAAATATAAATATAAAACTTATAAGGACAAAAGTTTAGTCCAATTTAGCAATTTTATACTCTCAGTTCTTTAAAAAATGCTTTAATTAAATCTCCCACCTCTACCTTAAACGACCGCTGTCGCTTTCGACCGTCTTAAGATGCCCGTGCGAGGACGGATGCGGATCCGTTCGGACACCTTCAATTAGTTTCCGCCGTCTCCATATCGTTTGGATTAAAAGGATTATAAATAGAGAAACTCGGGGTTGATATATAGAATTGTTTTTATTGATATATTGTATTCACAATAAATGTAAAATTTTCAATAATTTATAAATCAATTAAAAAAAAAAAAATCATACTTAAAATGTAAATATAAAATAAATATAAATATAAAATTTATAAGGACAAAAGTTTAGTCCAATTTGGCAATTTTTATACTCTCAGTTCTTTAAAAAAATGCTTTAATTAAATCTCCCATTTCTACCTTAAACGACCGCTGTCGCTTTTTCGAAGTCTTAAGATGCGAGGACCCTTCGGACACCTTCACATTAGTTTCCGCCGTCTCCGTATCGTTTGGATTAAGAGGAGGTTCTAGTCCAAAGGCCCGAAAATTAACGTAATTTCAGGAATTTTTTTGAGCAAACGTAAATTTTTTTGAAAAAACTGTGGCATTTATTAGTACATATTTGACGAATCATACAAAATTTTGTCGAGCAAAAATAATAAAAATGGTGGCTCCAGCCTCAATGAAGAAGAAAGCCGTGCGCGGCGATAAGTGAATGTGCGCGAAGCACTCTACAGCCCTGCCAAGTGATTTGAAACAAAAAAAAACGAAAAATATTCTTAAACTAGATGAAATTCGGGGGGCCTTTATGAATTTCCGATTTTTAAAAACCTTTTAAAAAAAAAATGGCGGCCATTTGAAAAAAAAACCTGTTTTTCCTATTTTTTTTTGGCTTTAATGTCAAAAAAAATATTTAAAAAATGTTTTAAAAAAAAAACGCTTCCTGAAGGCCCCCTAAATTGAATAAGCTTTAATTTGAGCCGTCAAACATCAAAATCGGTTCAGTCGTTTGAAGCGGAATCGTGCTTCGCGCGCAAAAAAAAGGTGTTTTTGTTTCGAGAAAAACGTGTTAAGTTTGACGAAAGAAAAATAAATAAATAAATAAATTAGATATGAAAATATCCTTTTGCCTACAAATTTTCAAGACCCAAAGAATGAAAATAAAGCAACAAAAAAAATTTTTTTTGATCGATTTTGACTAGAACCTCCCCTTAAAAGGATTATAAATAGAGAAATCGGGGTTGATATATATATATAGAATTGTTTTATTGATATATTATATTTACAAAACGTAAAATTTCCAATAACTTATAAATCAATAAGAAAAAATAAAATCATACTTAAAATATAAAATAAATATAATATATATATAGATATATGTATATATGTATATAATATAACGTTTATAAGGACAAAAGTTCAGTCCAATTTGTCACTCTATACTCTTAGCTCTTTAAAAAATCTTCAATCAAAATCTTCAGAGAAGATTCGATAAGGAATAGTTCAGTATCAATTTATTCTTCTCTAATGAAGTGAGCTGAAATGTTCACGAAATGTTGGAATCAAACAAAAGCGTACGCGGTTCAAACCTGAAACCAATTCTAATAAAACTTACTAAATTTTGAAGTCTTTATTGATTCGCTCGAAATCTTTCATCTATATTAATTCTTTACATTTAGAAAAAGAGGAAAGACGAAAGAGGAGAAATATTAAAGCTTAGGTTGGGCTAGGTTAGATTAATTGTAGTTAAAAAATCAAAATTTTGATTGAGTTGTAAATCTTCTATTTTAAGCGGTTATTTGCTTAAATTTTGCTAATCTCTGACAAAAAAATGTTGAGAATATTATATATTATAATATATTATTATAATTATATCAATGTTTTTTCTACTCTCTTCATGACTTGCCTTAATAATAAATTAGATATAAAATAAATCCGTAAATTAAATTGTTCTTTTATGACTGTGCGTGATGAATCGTGTATGTGCATTGTGTATAAAATTTAGAAAAAAATTCCTAAAATATTTTATTTTTTCTAGAATAAATGGAACATATGAAAATATTCCACTGATTGTTTTATCGCAATTAAACGATATCCCAGTGGAAAAAGCTGCTGGCAGCAAGTCGGAAAGTGGAACGATGAAACGGAGATCGCGCTTTAAATCGCCGGTAGCAGCAGTAACACACACGTACCAACAGCCATTTGGCATTTTCCTTCTTCCCGCAAAAAAAATAAATAAATAAATTGTTGCAAGTGTAAAATACATATAAACTAGCAATATAAATTGCCATTTTCACGATATTCTTATTTGAGAGATATTTGAAAGACATTGCCGTATAAACGTACATATTTATTACAATACATTTACTCGAGTCGCGATACACGATACGGAAATCGTTACTGATTGTGAGAGATACTCTACCGAGCAATTTACGAGTTCGTTTTAATGCGATTTGCAATGCCGCGTGTGTTGTCATCGTCGTCGACGTCATTGTCGTCGTTGCGATGTGAAATGCGAAATAATTGGACGGCTTGGGTAAGCCTCTTATGTAACAAGAGAGAAGAATCAAGAGGCGAGGTTCCATAACGATCATAAATCACGTTAGAACGGCGGCAAAGGGAAGGAGAATAAACAAAAAATATATATATACAGGGTGTTTACGTAATATTTAGATAAATTTCTAAGGCGTTCCTTTGCGCCAAAATATAGAAAAAAGTTAATATATATCCGTAATCAAAAATGAGTGGTTGCGAAATTATAGTAAAACGAGAATGTTATTAGATAATCATAAGTAAGCATAAATTTTAACTCATAAGAAATACTTAAAATAGCCGTCAAATATTTAATTAGAAACCAGCCATTGACATGGCGAAGTAAGGATTGTCGAACTATTTCAAAGATTTCCAGACGATTTCATATAATGTTCCCAATTTTGCTATCATGTATTTTTTGTAAGTAAGCCTTAAATTAAAATTCTATTGAATTAAATTCTAACCTGAATTAACTGAAAAGAGTGGTTTCGTTAATATTTTATTTCTATAAGGCTTAGTTTGCGAGAAACCTTTTATTTTCAATCATTTATAACTCAAAGATTAATTATTGTTGCCTTGACACTTTTACTGATTGTGAGGAAAAATCGTCTTCAAATGATTCAAATGATAAGGAATCAGCCATGAACAAATTTTCTGGTAGGTCTGAGACACCCTGTATCTATATTACGTTAAAAGAGAAGACAAGATTTTTGTCGACGGCATTTTCACGATTTGTTTGACGGTACAAAGGATCCGCGCGATGAAACGCGCAGGCAAAACTGAGCAGAAAAGCTGCTAATCCGCGCGACGAAATAAACGCTTTTGAGCGCGAGCCAAATGAGAACGTAACTGAATCAGCATCGCCGCTAAAAGCAAAGTTCTTCCCGCTGCGATTGTAATTCTCTCGACTGCCGATGTTACAAACAAATCGAAATTTGCGCGCTTATACACATTTACAGAAATCGGAAAAAATGGTATGTTTACTGAAAAAATTGTATTCTCATTTTAAGAATTTTCCATTTATTTTTAAAATATCCTGTTCTAAAATAGAATCAAAAAGGATTTAATTGTTTCTAGAGGGAAATCCTCTAAAGATTAATATCAGATATTCTTAATTTAAAAACTGTAGACAAAATGAAATTTATTTTTATTAATAAAAGTACACTATTTGACAGCACAAGGAAAAGAAGACCATAAAAATAGCATTTTAACTCGCTCAAATTTTCTTTTTCAAGCCATTTTTTAATACTTTATCAATTCTTCTAATAAATTAAAATTATTCGATAACAAACATTGCACTGCACTATAAATTGCAACACTTATACATAATCATATACGTTATTGCAACAATACAATTATGCATCAAATAAATAGTATGCATAAAAAATATTGGAATTTGTTATTAAATTAATATGTAGTTAGTTTTAAAGAATTTTCTAGAAATATATAAGATATATATTAAGAGGAAAATTTTATAATATACAATTTACTTACTTTAAGAATACAATTTTTTCATGCTATTAACATTTTTATTATTGTGCTCTATGCATTATTGATCGAGAGAGACGTTTATTTATTTTAATTCTATTCTAGTGATTTAGAGGAGCCACGATTGAATTTCTTCAAGAGAAATACAAACTCAAGATATTTTTATAAAATTCTCTACATTCCTTTAAATAACTTTATATGTGAATATTTTTTTAGAATCGTAAAATGTTATACGAAATAAAATAAGATATTATTGTTACGGTCTCAAAATTATAACAAAACTTCTTGTTTTTATTCTCACGATATTCGAACAAAAAGATAATTTTGGTCTCTTCAAAAAGTATTAAAAATGACATTGTACTAAAATGCTTTATTGTAATTTTGTATCGATTTATATGTCAAATCGAGCACATCTCTCTTGTTCTTTTTATCATCTTTTGCGCCCGTTTTATGCGCCTTAATCGAAAGCTACCGCTGCAGCACTCGATTAAAGCTAAAATCGGGCCGGTTAGTCTGAAAAGGGTTGAAAATTTTATCTGAGATGCTTTTAGTGTCTCTTAAAAAGACGTAATAATAATAATAATAATAATAATAGTAATAATAATAATAAAGAATTTCATTGTTGTTCCAAGATACTATTGCCATGTTCCCATATATGTTTCGTATTCAACAATCTGGTTTAAATTAATTAATTTCACGTAACGATTTTCTTTCTCTTTCTGGATCACAGACACAATACTGACGGAAAGGACAGCTTTAAATCGCGGTTAGTACTAATGGACATTGATGTAATAGGGTCTCGGGCTAAGTTGCGCGCTGATGGCCGGGGTTAACTAATCCCGGATTAGTAATTCGCTGTGTTATATTAGATTACAGTAACAGAGTGTGTGCAATATATATGTACATACGGAATATCTTGCGTATTAGTCCCTAAACCTATATTTATTTATAATTTGTATTTATTTTCAATTTTAATTATCATACAAATATATTATATAAATATTATATTAAAAATAATAAGATAATAAATAATCTAAAATTTATAATACTTTTTCTTCTCTTTTTATCGCTTGAACGTTGTCTGATATAGTCGTTTATTTTACGAGCGTGATAAATTTTAGAAAAAGATCATACCTTTCTTTGATCTCGTTTCTACTTAATTTTCACGAAGATTTAATTCAATTCATTAGTATCATCCGTAAGTTGATAACTTTTTTTAACGATATTTTATATATTTTTTTACGCGCCAGCAATATAACGCAATATTAAACGCCAGAGCGTTAAATAATTTTCCGGTTCTGATTCTGGCAAACTTCCACTTTGTTGACGGCGCGCATCGTCAAATAGATAGTCTGGTCCGAGATAAATAACGAGGAATCGTGCTCGCGATGGATCGCGGGCAACGGTCACTGTTTGCATGCATTAATGACACAAAGCTCGATGTGTAATAGCCTGGCGCGAAGCGATTGCGCGAACGCGCGGATGACGATGCGAAATCGAGCCATTGCTACAAATCTGTCAAGGATTATACACCACGTGCACGGGAGCGATACACACACGCGATATGTCCGCCAAAACCTGACAGAAACATTTGCACGTCGATACAAGAAGCGTGTAATTCGATGATGGCTGCGAGAAAAAATAAAAGTGCTGGAAATGCGATGCCTTCTTTTATAGAACAAGATTAATTTCAATGTGACATATTCTTCGGACTAGTTGGAGTCGATTAACTTTCGTTCAAAATGGCCGGAGGGGGCTTCTAATAGCTTTTGAGGTTATGAGCGAAAATAAAGAGCTTTTCCCTAAAGTAGGACACGTCTTTACTTAATGGAACTAAAAGCCTGAAATCGCGCGTCATAGAGGGCGGGTAGTAGTTAATCATCATTACACGTGTATATAAAGTATGCATTTGTCTTTTTATTGATTCAAACCATTATACCTTAAAGAATTAGACACATTTTATAACTTTGTTTAAGGGGATTCTTCACGATTGTCAGCTTTATCAACCAACTATTATTTTCGTACTTCTAATCTTTTGTCGCATTAATTTGACAGTATTAAAAATGCTTCTCTACAATTGCAATACATATATCAATGATCCCAGGAAAGTTCAATTTCATATGATAAACGAGAAATAATTATGAAATTATAGCTTTCCTTATCTACTTTTACCTCAATGTGACGTCTCGAATGACAGATGAGCTGTCAACTCATCATATTAGGTCCTTGAATAAGTTCTCGCTGTTTTTTTTGTTAAAAAAAACATTTATTTAAAATATAAGGCTTACAATAACTTTACTCAAAGTATTGTCCATCATTAGAGACCACACAGCAATGCCTCCAATTCTTCGTCTTCAAACTTTGTCGGTGCTCCAGAACGTTCTTTATCTTCAAGGTCAAAGTCATTATTTTTAAAGCGCCTAAACCAGTCTCTGCATGTCGTATTCGACAGAGCATTGTCACCATATGTTTCAACAAGAATTCTGTGTGCTTCAGCTGCAGATTTCTTTTGAATAAAGCAGTGCAATAAAATTCCCCGCAAAAACACTTTATTTGGCACAAAAGTAGACATTTTCGCAATAGGTAATTAAACACGTGGTTGACACTGTGGTAAACTGTATCTACTAGAATTTGAGGTTACATATAGTACTACTTAGCTGATGCGTTTCCGTACGAAATTCCATGCACAGAGTGCCGCTACGCCATCTTTTAAGAAACAGCGAGAACTTATTCAAGGACCTAATATTATATACTTTATATAAAAAATATACATTTTGTATAAATATAAACACAAGATCCCTGAGATTAACATACATAAAAAAGCATTATCTTCTAAATTTAGATTAAAAGTTCCATATAAATACAGTTTGTATTATGATTTGTACGTACGTGTGCGTGCGTTGTAAGTATAATAGAACCAAAAACAGCAATACATATTTACCTTCAAACTTATAATATAGTATTAAACGTAGCAGAAAGTGACTCCATGTGTGCCATATGTATACATAGATTTTTAATACATGTTTGATCTGGGATGATTTATAGTTTAAAGTATCTGTAATTATTCTTCAAGAATCAGTCGATAATTACCAATATTTTTAATTCCAAAATGAGTGCGCTATTATTTTGTCGTCGTTCGCTGAGGGATCTCCTTAATATATAAAATTAAGAAATTTATTGTGTGTTGCCTTTATTTTGAGTAGGAAATGCATTACGCATATCCCCGTCCTTTGGGGGAAGTTTGGAGGTTATGTGGGATTCTCTCTATTTAACAGGCCTAAATCCACACGGTGGCTATCCACGTGCATGTTGAAAGCTTCCTGGGAACTGACAATATACCATTACTTCCGGGAAAATACATTAAAGCCTACCAAAAAGGCAGGTTGATCATCACATCATACAATTTCACTTTTCCACAAGTTTATATCTCTTCCAAAGTCTCAATCACTCAATGTCTCACGTTCGCTTTGTTCGAAAAGCTCGACATATGCCATATCTATATACCTTACGCATAAAAAATCTCTACTTTTTGGAAATGTATCACACTCGGCGTATGTATACACCTCGGCAATCCAATTCGCGAGCTTACATTCTCCGATGCCCGCGTCGCACAGTATGTGCAGTCGGTCGATTCGCGCTGACGACGGTGCAACGCAATAATGACTCTCGTGTTCGCGCGCGACGAGATAATACGAGATACGAGACGCGAGGCCTCGCGAAACTCGGGGCGTGGCACGCGTGCAATGGCGCATTCTGATTTACGCCGTGAGCAAACAGCCGCGACACGAATCAACTGGGCTAATCCCAGCTACGTCGCCTCTACCCCGCTTCCCTTCCTCCCTCCATCTTCCCTGTTGGGTTATATTGTCGGGTCTATAATTTGGGGTTAATTCACCGGGCGGCACTCGAGTTCAGGCGTCAAACCGCAGATCGATAGTTCCGCCTGCGCGCACCGCGGGGCTTGTCATGTAAATGTTGCGTGCATTATAGCCTCTGCCCTTCTACCCTTTCCCCCCCCCCCCGTCCCTCTTCTCGCCTTGCGGCGACCCAGGGCCATTTCCACGGCGATGCCCGCCGCAGGCGGGCAGCGGCAGGCTCTCCGAAGCGTTGCAATGCACCTGATTCAGGTACGCGCTCAGCGGCGTGTCAACATTCCGGTGGAGGCCTAACTCGAATGCCTCACGATAATCCAATTGCACAATGAAACAGCCTCAGAATCTTGGCTTATAAAAAAAGAATGAGCAAGGTCATGATCGTTTGTCGTTTGAATCTATAATATATTGCAAAAGTAATTATATTCTCATTTTAAGGATTTTCCAACTTATTTTTAGAATACTCTATTCTAAATTGGTCAAAAGAGGGATTTTTAAGAAGGGAATCCTCTAAATTCTAAAGATTAGGATCAGATCGATAAAAATTTAGATGAAATGGCATTTATTTTTACATTACAAGTACATTGTTTTACATATAGAAGCAAAAAGGTCATAAAAACATAGAATAGTACATATAACACATACACCACTTGGGTACTGAATAATTAAAGTAGGATCCTCAATGATTACATTATTTGCTTGTAAACTTCTTTCAGAAATTTTCTCTTTCAAACCCTATCTTAGCACACACTTTATTTATTCTTCTAATAAATTCAAACAATTTAATGACAAACACCACACTGCACTGTAAATTTCAACACTATATAATCATATACGTTGCTGCAACAATATGACCATTTAACTCCAAATTAATAGTTGGCATAAAAAACATACAACTGTTTGTTATTAACAAAGAATATATTTTTAAAGGTGAAGTAGGCTAAATTGACCAACACTGGCTATGTTGATAGATTCTTTTATTTAAAAAGAAGCAACGTTTTGACCCTAAATTGGGTCCTCTTCAGACTAAAAAATTAAAATTATACAATCTATGTTATATACATAACGAAAAAACCGTCAATTACAGAAATGAATATAATAAAGAGATATGAAATACCTGTTGTGATAAAATATGGTTGTAAAACTACATAGAAAACTATTGAAACATTAGTATGGAAAATAATTAAACACAACTTGACAAAGAAATTTCTAGTAACACCACAAGTAGTGTTCACTTTGAAGGAACGACATATAATTAAATCGAAACATACACAGGTCAACGCATTAGTATCAATTATTAATATATATTTTTAGTTTTAAAGAATATTTTAGAAACACTTGAAAATATCCGTTAAAAACGATTTTATAATATATATACATCCTCTTTTTTATTTCGGTAATACAATTTTTCGTTGAGGAAGAAATTTTCGACAAAATAAATTTTTGAAGTAAAATTTACTATAATAATGTCATTATTGTCTTTAATTTTCAAACTTATTATTATCTTCATGTTTTGTTTAGATTTTTTCTACCTTGTACCCCGGTATTGCGGTTGTTTAGAAACACAAGCTTGTTTGTGCACGAATAGCAGCTTGAGAAGTCCTGAGAAATTTCTCTTCTTTTCTGTCTCTTTCTCTCTCCTTCTCTCTCTTTCTCTCTCTGACAGCACAATTTGAGGAAAATCCCGACTATCGCACGGAGATTTTCCGTGAATATTCCCACTGTTGGGCGAGTTATATACAGGATGGATTTAGACTGTACTACACACGAAGCACGCCGCAATTTCGAAATTCTTACAGCTGCACCTAGTCGCGTGCCAATGCAATTCGCGTGTGGTGACATCGTTACGCTATTCAGTAAAAGTAAACATTTTTTACTTAAATTTACAACCCCTCTTTGATTACTGTCGCGGTAATCAACGAGAGGTTGTAAATTTTCTAATCTCTCAGAAATTTTATTAATATACAATACATATTGATATATATATATATATATATATATATATATATATATATATATATATCATTTGATGAAATTATTAAATATCAGTTTCAAAACGGGACATGCTTTGACGATAAAATCCCCTAAAATAAACCAATTAATATTATTTCAAAAAGTAATTATTAAATTTGCAAATTAGTTTTTCAAGTAAATATAAACGTTCGAAATATATTACATCAAATATATAAAATGTTAAAAAAATACTTTAGAACTTGCAGGAGAAATATAATAAATATTTATTAACGAAATGTAATAAAAATATTTTAGAAAATATAGATGGAAAAATGAATTCTATCCAAAAATTAAAAGCAATGTTAAATTTCAAAGAAAATAATTTGTTTGCCTCTATTATTCATCGCATACAATGTGAAAACAAAGCATTATAACTTACACATTTGGATGTTTACAAGAAATGCATTCTTCTTTCATTTACACACATGTTTTATATCAGCGAATACAAAATACGCGTCAAATGAAAAGAAATTCTGAATAGAATTTTTGAAAGAATTCGCAATATTTTGTGATACGAAATTGTATAAAGCATATGTAGAAATGAAAGAAAGATACATTTTTTATGGTTTATTTGTCTAATAAAATATCAGAATAAGAGAAAATATAAAAATTTCTTCGTGTCACATTACATAAATAGGGCCAGCTAAATCATTTGCTTTATATCAAAATTGAAAATTGCTTCCAATTGTAATGTAATTGATTTTTCCATCTATGTTTATTATTTTCTACTTGATTCAATGAGAATACTATGTATTCTACAAATCTCTTTTTTTAATACATTATAAATAATGAAAATGTGTTGCGATAATAATCACGAAACAATGTAACTTAATTAAAGCAAAGATAAATTTTAAATTTCATCATATAAAATTTTTAACGCAAATTATAATTAATAAATAGATTTCCTGAAATACTCGTACGTAAAATATATATTTTCTTGTATACTATAAATTGAATTATACTTTCTTTGTTTTTTTTTTTAAATTAATGAATAATTTTTTAATTCGCAGCAAGATTCTTTTAATATTATATGTCTGAATTTTTTATTGCCTTTCTAGACGCAGCGCCTCAACTTCTGTACAAGTTCATCGAGCAGACGATGCAGCCCGGTCCTTCAGTGTCACTCAAGTGTATCGCGATGGGCAACCCCACGCCGCATTTCTCCTGGACATTGGATGGGTTTCCTCTTCCGCAAAACGACAGGTAAAACGAGAGTAGTTTGCGTCGCAAGGATCTTTGTTTGTTTCAAACGATGAAAAAAAGCGAGGCGATCTGCTAATAACCGCGTTTTTCCCTCTCGTTCTTTCTTCAAACGGAAAGTCCATGGCACCAAAATCAAACGTTGTACATACACGGAGAGATTATTCGCGGTTATTAACCTTAGGGTATTACACCGGGATCGTCCATCGTGGAAAATCGGTGTGGAAGCGGGATTTCCATCCGATCGGGATCTCCTCGTGGGAGCGCGCCTCGATAGACCCCCGCGGGCTTCGATTCTCTGAACCAATTGAGAGGAAAATTACCAATCACGCTGTTCAGTCTGGACGTTTTTAAAAGCCGACCGAATTCCAAAACGATGGATTTAACGGGCGCTCACATAAGTCGAGCAGACGGTCGATAATTCTGCGATCCCGATGATTATCGCCGTGAGCGAGTCGCGATAAGAATAATCTTGTTCAGAAAGGGGGATCGTTTCTGAGAAAAGTTATATCTTCTTGGGGAAAAATGCCAAGCTGTCTATCATGAGAAATACACTTTCTCGCTAATAGCACAACATATCCGAAAGATATTTAGAGGATATTCGGAGGACATTTGAACATTCTCAGGATGTTCTCTGAATGTCTTCGGGATATGTGTGCTGTTAGGGTTATGATAAAGACTTAACCTGCATGCCAGATGATTCGTAATAAATAATAATTTACAAGTTGGATTTAATCTATGAATATTGTAGAGAATATATTATACACATGTAAAGCTGGGTATACACTTACAATTAGCGAACGAACAGTGAATGTGAACGTTTGAACATTATTATTTGCGTTCATAGATTGTTCATTTTTTCTTGCTTGCACTAAACATTAGCATTCGATTAATAATAAAATTTAATGCAATAAAAAAAATTGTTTGAACTGTTGAAAAAACTTGTTGAAAAAACTTGTTGAAAAAAAGAATGTTTGAACTTCTGCATTTACTGTTTGTTCAGTGTTCGTTCGCTAAGTGTATCCTCAGCTTAAGCTGACACTTTTTAAGGAGATCAGATCCTAGAATAGAGTCTCGATAGAACACAATATTTTTTTCTGCTCGGAAAAGCTCTACAATATTTTACTTAAATATCGAAAAATATTACGAAATTATTTTTATTTTGAAAATAATAAATGTTAATTTATTGTACCACATTTTGAAATATATGTTGATTTGTTCAAATCTAACCTATATGATAGATACATTATTTTGAAATAAGAAATTTTGTAAAAAACTTTATTACTCAAAATTACTTGCAGATGTCTAGCACTGATGAACGATAAAAAATTCTCGACAATATTGATTTACGCTTCAGATTCGAGCTTTGAGGTTCATTCGATATAAAATTTTCAACAATTTTCTCTTCGAAAGATCGCCATGTATACCAAGCAGATATAGGTATAGGTAGGTAGGTAGGTTAGTAAAACAGTGGTGATTTGCTTGCAGATTCATGATAGGCCAGTACGTGACGGTACACGGCGACGTGATATCCCATGTGAACATAAGCGCAGTGCGGGTGGAGGATGGTGGCGAGTACAGGTGCTCGGCGGTGAATCGCGTCGCAAAGGTGCATCACGCGGCCCGGCTCAATATTTATGGGCTGCCTCATGTGCGACCGATGGGTAACTATGCCGCCGTGGCCGGCGAGACGACCGTCATCAAGTGTCCCGTCGCGGGTTTTCCTATCGCCAGTATCACCTGGGAGAAAGGTTTGGCACCATATAATCAGTGGTTTTCCACCTTCGATTTAAAAAAAAAATTTTTTTTACTTTTAAATTTTGAAATTTTTGAAAATTTTTTTTTTAATTTCAATTTTTTTAAATTTGAAAAACTTAAAAAAATATCGTACTTTTTTTAAATAAATGCGTATTATAGATCGAATAAATTAATAAGAATCCTATCTATTATTATTCAATATTTGAAAATTTTTTAATTTTGGAAATTTTGAAAAAATTGGAAATTTTTTAATTTTGAAAAATTCTTTTTCAAAAAAAGTTTCGACCGTTTTTTTCTCTTTTCTTAAATAAATGCTAGATCAAATAAATTGGATAATGAGAATTATAATAATTTTTATTAGTTTTAAAATTTTGGAAATATATAAATTTAAAAAAATTATTTTAAACTTTTAAATTTTTAAAGTTTTTAAATTCTTAAAATTTTTTTCAAAAAATATCGTATATTTTTAATCCTTTTAAAATAAATGCATGTTGGATGGAATGAATGAATGAGTAAAAATCCTATTCTATTATTAAATACAATGAAAGTAATTCACGTACGAAGAGATTATAATGCAAAATTTGTGAGCACAATTTCAATTTGTTTGATTGTTTCAAGAACTCATAGCAAGAATAAAAGAGATGATAATATTGCTAAGATATATTTTTACATATTTCTAATAAATGAAAAAGATATGGATTGTGAATTGAAAACCACTGGTATGGATCGAAGAAGATGAAATTTTTCGCTATACAATTCTTTCATCGACAAGATCTTTGCTTTACTATTTTATTACTCGCTTTTAGTTCTCGATACCTCGGAATCTTCAGATTTTCCGCGAACTTTTACCTCTCTATAGCGAAATTGAATTATTCAGTTATTCTTTCGATATTAAAAATCGTCTTTCGACGTGAAGTGGAAGATCTCTTATTCCAATAGCGTAGTGAAGAAACACACACTTGTGTATTTTATATGTTACATTTGTGTCACATTTCTTCTAAAGTATCGTGACGATTCGATGAAAATCGCGATTGTGTCGCATCTCAGCTAAAAGATGATATCTAACATTATTTTCCAAAAAAATACGCTGATTATTCCTTGCCTTTTAAAGGGATTCTTTACAATTGTTTGTTTTATCAAGCAATTATTTTCGTACTTCTAGTCTTTTGTCGCATTAATTTAACAAAATTAAAAATTCTTTTCTACGATTGCAATACATATATTAATGATCCTAGGGAAGTTCAATTTTATATAAAAAACGAGAAATAATTATGAAATTATAGTTTTCCTTATCTACTATTTTATCTCGATGTGACGTGTCGAATGACAGACGAGCTGTCAACTAATTATATTATATTTATATAAAAAATATACATTTTGTATGAATATAAACACAAGATCTCTGGGATTAACATATATGAAAAAAAGCATTTTTATCTTCTAAATTTAGATTAAAAATCCAGTGTATGAAAGTATAGTTTGTATTACGATTCGTATCTGCAAAAAACAGCAATACATATTTACGTTCAAACCTATAATAGTATTAAATATAGAAAAAATTAACTCTATGTGTGCCATTACACGTTTGATCTGAATGATTTATAATGTAAAATTTAAAATATCTGTAATTATTCTCCGAAAATCAGTCGATAATTACCAATATTTTTAATTCCATGAAATTGCTATTATTTTGTCGGAATTCATCGTTCGCTGAAGGATCCCCTTAATATCTCCGCGAGTCGTATTTAGAGTGTGCACAAACATTTTCATGAATATCGGCGCACTCTACTTCATCGAGCAAACCACGGAACCCGCTCTCTTCTCTCTTTTCCTGCTTTAATGAAGTCCTCCGACCTTTGCGCTGCGCGTCTTTTATTTGCCTTGCCGGATGGTGGAATTAAACGCTCGCGGAGATTAAAATACTTGGGATGCTGCAAAGGATGCGTAAATAAGTTAACGGGCCGCGTCTTGGACTTCGACGGGAAGGTCACGCTTCGCCGGGAAATTTCCTTCGTCTGCCTTCGGGAGATCTTTAGGGAGAAGCAAGAGCGGCGATGCGCTCTTCCCGCTCGTCCCTCGGGTGGCGTATAATCCTGAGGAAGAGGGTGAGAAAAACCTTTTTATTTCGATCGAGGTCGCGAGTAGTCCCGAAGCGGCCAACTTCGGGCGCTCTTCTTCTCGTCATGATGAACTCGACTTCGGAAAAGTTTCAAACGATCGTTGCGCCAACTTTCCATTCCCCCAACTTCCGTCGACGTCGCGACGACCATTCACGGCCATTTGGTCCATTTAGCGTTATAAGTGCAGTGCTTTTTAACGATCTACGAGAAAAATAATAGCGAAATAGCGGTTTATCTGTGAAAAAAATGTTTACTTCTGTGTTTTTATAATTAACCCTTTATTCTACATTTATGTAATGCACAGATTTAATTTTTATTTTTAAATATATTTTATATATAAGCAATTTATGTATTATACAATAAGTGTCCTGTGAAAAAAATCTGATATTTTACATAGATTTTTTTAAAATTTATTTATTAAAAACCATTACAAACTATCGGTGTTTTGTATTACAATAAACAGTAATGGACATTATTTTAGGATGGGGTGACATGTGGCCTCACGTAGAAAGTCACGGACTGATAGGCGATAGGTCCCAGGTTCAAACCCCGTTCGATTCTAAACATTCCATGTACCTCATAAGAATTTTTTTAGAAAAGGAATGTGGAAGTAGGAAAAGTTAAAAGGGAGGAAAAAAGAAGAGATGAGAAAAAAAGAAATTATAATTGCAATTATAGTCAAGTTAAAAGGAATTAAGAAGATATTGTAAAAAAATTCGGATACATCCCTTGTAAAAAAAAAAAAACGTTTTTGTAGTCCCAAAGGATCAAATAAACGTTATTATTATACATACAAATATCGATATTTCTATAAAAAGGATTCTCAATTCATGTATGCACATATTTTGTATATTTTTATAATCTTATTTTTCATATCTGTATCTTTTGTTGCGTTTTGTATTATATTTAAATACGATTGTACACACATGTTTATTTAATGTAAACCATTGTACGATGCTATTTTTGTTGTTTAACTCTGTTCCTTCTTCAAATATATATCGCACCACACCAAAGACGTGACTTTGGTTCGACAACAATTTCAAAGTCGGTCGCCGGTTATGAAAGCATATTGAACACTCGACTGCATCGCCGTAACGTCGCCAATGTGGTGCGAACTCAGTGGAAAACCGCATTTCCACAATGCTACGGTCGCGCGCGGATTGCGTGGCGAGCAGTGAAAAGCAAATGCATAATTTAAACTCAAATATCGCACCTTCGTGGACACTGCAATTTTCCATTTTCGATTAAAACTTGTACACTCGTGCCAATAAAGAAGGATATTCCTGAGATTATATATACCTGACGATATGAGAGAGTGTCGTTCAAATAGAAATATAAAATTTGGCCAGTGTAGAAGCAATCAAAATGTGTACTCTGCCGTAAAATTTTAACCCGATATTATTATAAACTTATTTTATTTATTAGTTTTCTTTATTTGTCACTTATTTTCCAGGTAGCAAGCGTACGTCATTTTGACGTCTAATGACGTTATTTGATGTCAAAATGACGTCGGATATAAAAAGGAATATATTATAAGAAATCGATTTATTAAAAAAGTAGGTTAAATTAAGGTTTTACTTTAAAAAATTAATTTATTAGAGGTCTCAAAATAATCTTGAAAAATAACTTTAATTAAAATTCAAGATTATCCATTTTTTCTCCTCAAAACCATCCATAAAAATAAACCTAAATTTCCTAAAATGTTTTGATTTTTGAGATGTGCAATTAAAATAGAATACCTTACGTGTGTATGTGTGTGTGTGTGTGTGTATACATACATATATATACATATATACAATATACATATTATATATAGGCATTAGCGGATCTTGACATCGATAATCGATAAAATTTCTGAAATCTTATTTCTACTTTCTTTTAAAATGTTTAAATTTTTTAATTACATTTTTAAGAAATTAATTTCTTTTAATTTGCAAGGGAAATTAATCCCCCCCAAGATTCACTAGTATATATAGGCATATATATATGTGTGCGCCATTTCTCTCTTTTTTTGTTCGAAGAGAACAATGTCGTATATATAAAACACTTTTTTCTCGCAGATGGTCAAATATTGCCGACTAGTCGTCGTCAGGAAGTGTCTGCAAATGGTACGCTGGTGTTGCATCGGGTCGACAGCAGTACCGATCGCGGTGCATACACGTGCACCGCGAAGAATAAGCAAGGTCGCTCCGACTCGCAGACTATTCACATCGAAGTCAAAGGTAAAGTTCTCTCGTTTTCTCACTCGCACGTTATGTGTACATGTATATATATTAACTTTCTTCTTCATTTCTTTTAAGCAAACATCTTGTCTGTTTTTTAATTGAAACAACAGTGTCCCACAAGAGCAAGGTCGTCGTTCGACAATGATGTGGCGATCAACTTTGTCGAGATGTTCCGCGAATTCTTAATGTAAAGTTGACCGTAATCGTAGTCGTAATCGCAATCAAGTTCTTTCATGATGAAGTTGACTTATCCGAAGAAATCGCGCAATATTGTTTGCGGATTTGACACACGCCATTTAATGCAAAAATCGAAACTTTAAATCTTTTGTTAATTATTTGCCCATCAAATCGAGTCTTAAAAATTTTAAAGAGAATAAAATAAATAATAAAACTGCAATATAATATATAATATATAATATATAAATGTTTTGCACATACACGCATACGCGTATATACATATAATATATATGTATACATTAAAAAATCTAGGTTGACCTTTAAATTATCTTGAAAAGCTTTAGTTAAAATTTAAGATTATCAACTCTTTTCCTCTTCAAAATTAAAAATTTTATTTAACCATTTGTTGTCTACAATATCTTGATTTTGAGATATTTGTAGAGTGCAATCAAAATGGGACATCTTGTATACACCTTGTATTTATAATAGACATTATTGATGTCTTGATATTTTCGCTGAGGAAAAATCGTTTTCAAATTGGCTACAGAATCTGTCACTAAAAAGCATAGTCAGTGTGATTTTGGCATATTCTATTTTATATTGTACAATATATATATGTATAATGCATGATAAATGTATAATAGAAAATCCCAAAATCACTCCGGAAGTGCTTTTAAAAATAATCTTTCTAGCCAATTCAAAAACGATTTTTCCTCAACAAAAATAACATCAATAATATCCAAGTTACAAATTTAACAAAACTGCATATTATTCAGTCAATTTCAGAGTTTATGCAGTTTATTCTAATAGAATTTCAATTTAAGACTCAATTACAAAAAAAGACATATGTCGATTTTTGAGAAAAAAAATGGTCTCCAAATTGAGTGTGAAATCTGTTATTAAAAAAATATTCGGTAGGTTTGGACAATATCTTCTATAGATACTTATTATATTCTGTATTACATATGTATATACATTATAAAAATATTATACGTCATTCAAAACGAGTTATAACACATTCGAGAATATAGGAAGCGATAGATAAAAAAAATTCGAACACGAATATATCAACGAAATGTCCGATTCGTCTTTCTTCTTCGTGGAAGAATTTTAAATTGATAGCTATGCGCGCGGAATTGCACGGACGTTTTATCGAATCGTGAATTTTTATCTCGCGTATTGAAGCACGACAATTTTCCTCTCGATATGCGTCACACCGCGGAGGAGAGAATCGTCGTAGAAAAATTTGTAGCGCTTCTCCCGCATATAGTATAGTAGTACGCATGGAGTCCCATGTGTATAATACAGAAAATGGGTAAAAGGAAGAACTACAAGTACACATTTTATTTCTCGAGATCGAACGACGGAGATTCTCTCCTGTACTTCGCGTATATATGACGATACGTGCGAGTGTGTGTGTGCAGCGGACTTTTCATGATTTAAAAAGAAATCCCAGCCGCTTCATTTCTACCGCAAAAGGCGCTCTACATTTTAAGACTTCTCTCTTGCGAAACGGGATATTTCGGGAGATAAATTATATTTCGCGAGAAAATTTCATACTTTATTTCCTTAGCATGAGGTAGCGATTTATTGCTATTCTAATGCACTAATCATAATTATATAAGAAGTATTTTAAAATTCTAAAATTTATTTTTAAACGTTATATTAAATGTTAATAAAAATGTTTAAAGCTATCAAAATTAATTTTGCTTCCACTGTGATAATGCATTAAATGTGCAGTTCATTATCATTTCAATAAAATTGTGAAGGGCACTGTCGTTTCATTAATAATACAATTTAATCCTTAAATATTTTCTAATAATAATAATTTTTTAGCACAGTAATTAAGGGAATAGATAATACAATTTAAATAATATTACATCTTGAACACTGCTCTTGGCATAAATGACAATTTCAGATAATCGATTTTTGTACTGCGATCACGTCAAGCAAAGCACACAGGTAGGATATGTAAAATGTGTTTGCGACGATTACTAAGAAAATTAGATCCGGCAATCTTGCAAAACTCTTTGTGTATCCTCAACCTAAATTTTTTAAGTCGAGAGGATATTGGATTGTAAAAGTCGAGTATAGATAATGCAAAGAGAAAGAAAAAGAAAAAGAAAAAGAAAGAAAAAAGTATATCGAATATTCTGTTAAATTGCTTAAGTTATTTCCTTTAAAATTAAAAATTCCCAAGTTTCGCATTATTCTCTACAAAACTTTTGAGATAAAATAATTCTTAAAACTAGAGGAACAAAATAAGAGCAATTAAAGAGAAAGAAGAGGAAAAATTCAATATCCTATTCTATGACTTGGAAATAATCCAGTGCATTCTCAAACAATTGACTACATAGTGTTACATAAATAAATAATAATCTTTGTCTATTCGTTTTATATGGTTAAAATATTTAAAAAGTATTCTTCGTGATCCTTTCTCCTCTCGACTCGACTTCTTCCGGCTCAACGATACGACAACGACGACGTCAATGACGACGACGACGACGACGATAATGCACGACGTCGCGATGTGAAATAAACTCTCGTACTTCTTGTAATTTGCAGTACCACCTAAAATCGATCCGTTTAGCTTTCCCGTCAATATCCAGGCGGGCGCGCGGGTGCACGTGACTTGCGCGGTCAGCGAGGGCGACTCGCCCCTGAAGATTACCTGGTTGAAGGATGGCAGGCCGTTGAAGCCGCGAGAAGCCACAACTCATCAGATCGGCGAGTTCGATCTCGCATTAAGGATACAGAGCGCATCGACCGCGCATAACGGCAACTATACTTGCGTCGCGAGCAACGACGCTGCCAAGACATCCCGCACGGCATCCCTTTTGGTCCATGGTACGCAGCGACCGCAGCCTTCCCTTCGTCGTCTCGATTCTCTCCCCTTCTCCCTCAAAGAAAACACAGAAAACTATCCGGAAATTATTTCAGATTGATTTTTTATTCATCTCGTCCGAAAAATAAAGACTTTTTCATTATACGTGTGTACAGGATGCAATAATCGTCGAACCTCGTGTGCAGGTAGAGCGGGTTAAACTGAGTAAGAAAGTCCTCTATTGTTTTACAATCTTCGCAATAATTAATGAGAAATCAATTAAAAAAGATTGACCAATAAGCGCAAAGGAAACGCCCACGTAAGAGTTCCAGCGTTATGCGTCACTCGTACATAGCCAATAGTCCTTTGTTGAGTTCCCACTTCGTCGCGCGCCTGTACTCACGTGGATTGGCTAATCTTTTTTAATTAATTCCTCATTAATTACTGCGAAGATCGCAAAACGGTAAAGGACTTTCTTGTTCGGTTTAATCCACTCTACCTGCACATGAGAGATGCAGCAATTATTACACTGAACACTTTGTATGTATACACTATCCTATTTCAATTCTCATATCTAACATGAAGTAATAGCCAATAGCCTATTATCATAAGGATAGAATGATATTTTAGCCTCATCACTCTCTATATATGTGTGGAACCTCGAGTTCTGAGGTTCTCGCTTCGAGAGAATTTTTCCTGATTTTCCGAACCAATTTCCGTATTCTAGTAGAATAGCCCTTTTTATTTCCTTGGCGAGGATGCGGCGTGCTTGACTCGCGGTTGTGATTCTGCTAAAAGCTCTTTTCCAATCGTACTTGGCGGTTTACGCGCGTTTCCATTGGCGCAACCCAACGGCGAGTACCAACGTTGATCGAAAGAGAAATGGGGGAGGGGGAGAAATGTGATGGTCGCTATTAATCGACGCGCGATTCTCGTCAATCGAACCGCCCACTTGAACGCGCAAATCTCGCGGGCGAAGCAAAAGCGCAAAAGATCAATCCGCGATTGAATAATAACCGTCCATATATAGGAAGAGTAAAAAGTTTGATATTCTCGTGCGAACTTTCATCGACATTGAAATGATCTGACTTTTTCTTCAACGTTTGTATATAAAACGATGAGATTTAATAAAGCGTGATTTAAAAAGCGATGAAAATGGAAGAGTGAAAAAACTCGTCAAAGATTACGCGGTCGACATCTTTTGTGATTATATATCAACCATTCCATCTTCTATTACGAGATATTTATCACTCAAAGGCACTATGATAGAGGAGTGGTTTACATACATCCGCCGATGCGTGTTACATATTGTGCAATCCCCGTATAATGAGATTCCCACCCTCAAGAACATCCCGCGCATTTACATCTCTCGAGGATAGCGTATTAAAAGCGCCATGTTCTTTCGACGAGCGAATCGCTGTTAGCGAAACGGAGCTCCCGTCAATGAACGAGCAAATGAGTTGCCCAAGGGCGATTTTCGCATTTCATCGACGAGCAAAGAACAAACAGGGGGCACAAATTGTTTCACTTTTGCACATCTGTATTTATTGATATCGTGTAAATATAATTAATGTGGCATATAATTAATTTATGTTTCTGTGATAGTAGAAATTACTTCTTCCTTGGAAGAAACGATTCTATTTATTCTCGCCATTCTTGTAAATTACGCGAATATTGTAGGCATTCGATTTTAATTTTCTTGTGAAGATATTTGTGTCAACTGAATTTTCGATTGTTTTAATACTTAATTCTTTCATCTTTTATCTGATAATTTTCATTCTCGACTCATTGTTAACTACCAACTTGATATGCAGTCAAGAACAAAGTCCAAACTTGCAGTAACACATTTGAATACGTCCGCTCATAGACGACAATGGACTTACTCAGTTTTAAATAATTAGGTTAGGTTAGGTTAGGTTATAGTCTTCATTTCTCTACTACAATGCAACGCATTTATTAGATGCATATTGAAAAGTTTAGAAAACAAAAACAATCCAACTAGTCTTCTATATCTTCAAAATGTTCTTTGAAACTCAAAAAATTGCGATTTTGGCAGATTGAAAAATTGGATTCATCATAACCTTCGCGCTACGTGTTCGAGACAGTTTGACTTGTTAAAGCCGTATTCTCGCGAATTAACGTCACGCGCTCGCTATCGATAACGTTGGGAGACGCCAATTAAGGGACGGTCGACCGCCAAATTATCTTCACCGGGAATTCGCGCTCTACTTGCTCCGAAACTATGCGACGCAAATTTATCAACGCAACGTGTCTACCGCAAGAGCTTCTTTGTTGTCTCGCCCGAGAACCCATCCTCTCTGCTACCGTCCCTTTTCCCTGTACCCTTTCTCCACCACCCCCTCCCCCCCCCCACTCTGTCATCCCCCTTCGCTTTTGTATACGTGTATATATATGAACATTTATACATACTACGTGTGCAGTTCCCGCGTCTACATGCATACGTGCGACGGACCTCTTTGGGCATTACTCACGTTATGTTGCCGCTATCTACTTCCCTCTACCCGCTCGCGGTTTCTCAATTATTCTCAAACAACCGTCGCGTTCTGTTCTAATACCCCCGGGGTTCTGGCGTTCTCCGGGTTGTATCCGAGTATATACATCGGTATCGCACGAGGTGCACAACGAGGCAAGTTATTATTGTTGTTCCACGGCATTACGCTCGTCGCGACGAGCGAGTGCTCTCATCGAAAAGTCGACGACCGCGAATGAAAAGAGAGAGAGAGATCTCTCTCTTCCGCCTTCCTTCCCCGGCCTCCACCTTCCCTCTTGCTCTGCTTGATTGTTTTCGCCGCTGCATATTTTGCGAAATACACACGGCGAGCACTCTCGAGGGACGCGCTCCCGTTTGGTGCAAACGGAAACATATAGTTCACGATGCTATCGCGAAACCATAAACCCTTTCATCGTCAGTGATGCAGCAGGAAGATGTCGTGAATTGTTCTCGATTTGCGTAAATGAACTTTTAGTGAAGCGGTAATGATGAATAATAACTACTGACGTTAGAAAATTTCTTCTCGTTGTATTAAAGAGAAAATCTAGAATTGTAGATTCATTGTATTTAATGTAATATTATGAGGATCATACCAAAAGTAAAATAGACTACAATTTTTTTTATAAATTAAATGTCTTTCCTTTATTGTTTTTTGAATAATAACTTTTAATTTATAAAAATATTATAATATTGCTCAATAATTTTGGTATGACCCTCGTATTTAAATATCAATTATATGTAAATCGAGAACTGCTTATTGCATTCAACATTAATGAAACATTTCTCGCTACATTATTTTAATTTTGTCTGTCTTTAATTCAACGTTATTTCTTTGTTTCAGTACAAATACACTCTTACGCGACCACACGACAAATATAACACAGCCATATTACATCAAGACGCAATGATACAATTAAATCATTCTCTCTCTTTCACACATGTTACTTTCGTATATAATTAATTGATCAATGATGAATCTGTAATGATCAACGTGAATCTCATCTGTTCCTTGCATTTTATTCCATCAATTCTATAAGACAACAAATATGTCTGTGCGTTGAAACTCCGCGTTCAAAGACTCCTCTTAGACTTCAACCACGGATTCGTCGTTGTAGACCAACCTAAAACTCGCCGGTCAAACTATTAACTCAACAATTTCGTCCCTGTTTCTCCGCTGTGTGGTATCCGGACTCAGTGAACGACGCTGGATAAGTTTCGTCCTCTGGGACGACGTTAAATAAGGGCTAACCATATTTATTTTAATCTATCCGCGATACCAAAAAGATCCGTCTGAGGAACGTTCAAGAAAACAGAATCCGATAGCTCGCGTTGTTAATTGGCCAGTTGAACACTAGGAGCTGTATTATGAGCTCGTATCTATCTCTAGATGTATCTCTAACAATAAGATAAGAGACGCCTCTAAAGTTAGAGAGGCCCATATTATGAGTGTACATCTATCTCTATAGATGTGTCTCTAAATGCGCCACGATAAATGTGGCGGTATTATGAGCGCACATGTAGTGACGCATTTAGAGACAATCATCTAAAAAAAACTTATTTTGAACCACATTTCTCACACTTTCGATAAATGTGCCTTTGGATACATTTACCTGCGTCTCTAGCTTTAGAGGTACATCTAACACAGATAGATGTAAGCTCTAAATGCGCGATAAAAATATGATTGATTTTAGATGTACATTTATCTGTGTCTCTAACTTTAGAGGTACTTCTATATAACTTTAGAGGTACATTTAGAAATAGATGCGAGTTCATAATGTGGACCTAAGATTCTCTAATTGGTCAATCGTACTGGTGATCCTAGGTACCAGTCGATATGTGTGGATGTATGCTAACCCTCCCATATCTAACAATAAGGCGGAAGAAAGCGCAAGCATTCAATCAACAACAACAATGGGAAAGGCCATCTTCAAGAGATCTCCGACGAATTCTACAAGTCCACGCACGTGTACACGCATATCATCACCACTCACACTCACAGTCACCATGTTTTTCTCTCTTTTTTTGTGCAGTTCCGCCCACCATAGCTCCCTTTAGCTTTAAGAAGGACCTGTCGGAGGGTCTGCGGGCCCAGGTGACCTGTATGGTCGAGAAGGGCGATCCGCCGTTCACGATCATCTGGTCGAAGGACGGCGAGCCGATTTCCACCCTCGGTACGGCGGTCGCCGTCGCCGTAAACGATCCCCGACATCACTCGCAGATACCTCCGGGACTGCGCGTAACCAACATTGACGCCCATTCCAGTGCCATAGTTATTGAGCGCGTCACCGCCGCTCACACCGGCAACTATACTTGTCTGGCGCGCAATTCGGTGGCCGAGGTCCTCTGGACGGCCGAGTTGATCGTTCGTGGTAAAGTAAAGAGAGCTGTACCGCACTAGCTGTACCGCACCACGAAAAAACGCACCGAGTCTTTGTGTTTTTTTTCTCTCTCGCACATCACTGTCTTGCACCTTGGCAGCGCACTACTGTATTCGCGACGATGTAGCGGCGGTGGGTGGCTGAATCTGGAGGGTGAAGATGACCGCGATGCAAATATAGAATCTTTGTTTAGAATAAGATGATATCAAAGACAGTTATACAGGGTATTTTAAAAGGAATGGTCCATATTCTAGAATGTAATTGTTCATATGATGTTAAAAAGTTTATATAAACATATGTCCTATTCTGGTTATAAAGATACAAACCCAGGTACCAAGTATACATCATTTTGACGTTGAATGACGTCAGTTTGCTACTTGGGACATATTCAATCTTAAGAACTAATACATTTTTGAATTTATTAGTAAAACCAAATTCTATGAAACAATTACATTAAATTTTCGCCGTTTCGTCTTACGAAATATCATGCAGGTCACGTTTGATAAGTCGTGTATTAATTTGAAATTTTTTATTTCTGATAAATTTCTCGTTACATCACTGTCAGCGTCGATGCCATATTTTAGCAAAAAAGGATTAAAATTTAAAAAATTTTTAAATATTTTAAATTCGATTTTGCGATGTCTAATTATAACTGTCATTTACTGTTATTTTCTATTTTCATACTGTGACAACATGCGAATCAACTAAATTACGATACGGCAAAGTGTGAAATTATTCCCCTGGCAATCAGGCCAGAGGGATTTCGCGAAATAAAAATTGCGAATGACGGAGCACAAATTCGCGATTTAAAATGCCGAGTCACCCTCCTATTCCATTCACCCGCAGTTGCCGTATCGTCGTCACGTAAGCGCAGCCGCAACCGCAGCAGCAGCAGCAGCAGCAGCAGCCACCGCAGCCGTTCGTCAAAAAGTAGCATGATGCGGGAATCACACTAGGGCTGCGCACTCGGATTTTGCAGCGGATATCCGGATATTGACGAAGAATATCGAACTGCGTTCGCGCGCACGCTCGGAATTCGAACGCGACGGGACTAGCTTTGTGCGTGAAAGTAATATCCGTCCTCCCCACGTGAATTATGGCACATATGCCGTTAAGCGGGACCACCGTACGCGCATACGTGTATTGTTACAACAACGCGGAGCCGACTGATAGAAAAAATCTCCCACACATTTCTTCATCGATTTGACCAATTATTTGCGATGTAATATATAAGAGCTCGGTTGGGTAATTAATCAAAATATAATAAAACGTCCTAAAGAAGAAATGTCTTATTTGAAAATCTAATTCAATTTTTCTCAGTAGCTATCTTCTCTATATATTAGCATAGAATTTTATATAAATTCCGATTTCTATTTAAAGCTATTTGTAAATGATACTTTTATTATCTGACAGATCCATCCTCTCTCTCTCTCTTTCTCTCTAGGATATTCTAATATTCTCTTATATAATTTACACGTATCGTGTTTGAAAGTTTTCAGAATTGAGATTATATCATTAACACACGCAACTTTTTTTCATCTCATAGATATATTAGTACCTTTGAGATAAGAGTTAAATTTTTCACAAAAAAGAAATTAAAACAAGGAAGAAAAATGACTTTTCTACGCGAAAAGTTTGTTCATTAAAAAACGCGAGAGAGGGAATCGCGTGGGGAATTTTTTCTGGAAACATGTTACACGCTAGCCGGATATTCACGGAGATACGCGAGAAGAACAATTCGCCATTCCGGATAAGCGGGCAACGCCATCGTCCGGATAAACGCAGCTCTAGAGTCCTTTTTTTTTAAGAGAGACGATATACGCGCGAAATGACGCAGCAGCAGCAGCCGCCCAGCCAGCAGCAACCCGTTGCACCAACGCACTTGAGCACAGCATAATATAACGTTGTTTCACCATCCCCCATCACCCCACCTCACCTCTCCACTACCCCTTCACGCGGTCACCGCATATATATCGTATTTTCTATCTAGATATGTATCCAACACGCGCGCACTGTGTCCCACCTTCTCTCTACCCCTTATCGCAATAATTAAGTACTGCGATCGCATACTCTCCCGCATTAACTTGAACGCATTAATTTCGCGAGCGTCAAATGCAAAACAGTACCCAACTCTTTGGTCACGAAAGAGCGTTGGCGAAAAAATCATATATTGTCTTTTCAATGCTTTGAAATAATAATTTGAGAGAAAGTCTTCTTCTGTTAAATTATTGTGTTTCAAAAGAGAGACAATAAAATGTGTAAGATAAAAAAAGGAAATATATAGAGTATGGATCATTTTAATGTCTTACCTTAAATCTGTTTTTTCTATATCTTTTCCAAAAAAATATACTTTGCACAAAAGTCGGTTTGATTTTAAACAACGACATCAATTTGTTTATTAGATAGTATCACTTTCAAGAAATTCACTTTTCTAAGTAAAAACGATTTTTTTAAAGAAAAGTTGTAAGTCTGATTGAAACAAATCTAACTATGTATATTAGTTAAGGATTTTCTTGATTTTCTCATGAGTTATTTATAATTTTGGAATATTAATATTCCGCAAACCTGTCAAAAGTTCCTGTTCAAATTAAACTTTGTGTTCTTCGATTATACTTAATGGCTAATTGCATAATACTATTAAATCTTTAAAAACACTTTAAAATTAAAATGGATTATTTACCACAAAAATAATAGAAAGTGGTAGAGTTGTGTGGAAATAATTTCAAAGTTGAAAGGAGGGTGTATCTAGGAAAATCCCCCCTAGAGAGACCTCACATTTGTTTTATAAGTATACTTTCTATTTAAAAAGTGATAATTAGAAAATTTCTCGAAAGTGCCTGGAAACATTGCTGTCTTCTGACTCCCTTAACTCATTTTATATACCAATATTTTGATTGACTATACAGATTGATAAACCCTTTTCCACAACTAAAGTATTAATATTAATAAACGGGGGGCGTTATAATTTCAGGTAAATAAAAAAGTTAAGAAATTACTTTTTCCTATTTGAACTTTTTTTTTGCTCTTTTACATAAAATTATAGCGTTCACAATTCGTTATTATTAGTACTATAATTGTGGAAAAGAATTTTTCAATAAAAGATTCATGATCGAATCCAACTTCGCGTTTCTATCGATGAAACAGTGTTTTAGGATCACCTTAAAGTCAAACAACTTTGGTTCAAAACCTTTTTGTAAAAGATGTAGGAAAAAAGATATTTAGGGCATTAAAATGACCTACCCTGTATAGAACAAGAAATAGAATTTCGGCCGATATGAGGTCCACGCGTTTGTCATATTCAACACGATCGCAGTAGTCTAGAATGAAAAATGTATTGCATGCGGGGGCCAATACGCAGGCACTCTTCACAAAATTCGATTTTGCGCATATATATATATATATATATATATATATATATATAGCACCACACCCGTCTTATGTGTGAGCCACAGCGAGTTAGACGAGCCAGCAGCAGCAGCAACAGCAGCAATCTCGTAGTTCAATTTTAGAGCACCGAGTCACGTTCATTTCACCCAGCACACGCATATCTGCACTGACACGTTTTTCACAAGTTATTTTTCTCTCTTATTTGATCTTAGGCGTCACACTAATCCCTTGGCACATACCGATCTCACTGGATGCGACGCTCGCTCCTTTTTCTCGTTCCATTTCTTCTTTTCCCATCTCCCTTTCTTTCTCTCCGCGTCACCGAAAATTCGCATCTATCTAATCCATCGAGACGAATCTGTCCTGTTTGATCCGCACGTTTGTCGAAAGAATTGGTTTCTGATGCGAAATCGTTACGGCAATGAGGGGAAGAAGGCAATTGAGGGACGTTATACATTTTTATTGGATTGGGATCGATAGCCAATCAGTTTAGAGATATCAAAGTATTCAAATTAATAAGAAGGAATAAAGGTTCGGAAAAAGAAAAAGAGAAAGAACTATCAAAAAAGTAATTTTATGATTTAAAAAAATCTAATAGCTTTCTAAACTATCACTTTATCGACTAAAAGATTTTGTAATGCGATAATCGTCTTTATAAACATTATATCTTTGTTATCGTTATGATTTTACCGATTTTACTGTATGATATTGCATACAAAATTATTATCTACGAAATTATCGAAATGGAAAATTACACATTTTTCCATGTAGCTTACAATATGATACGGCGCGTATAATATCCTTCATCCTCTCAACTCTTTGATTATTAATTACAATTGAACAAATAATTTGCTTGCGAGCGCACAAATGCATGCTACATTATGTAAATGAGCATGCATTATACATATATATGTATATATATAATTTTATATACATATATATATATATATATACATATATATAAAATTCGATAAAATACGCAAACGTTCGGCTCAAGCGGGATACATATTTTGTGCACTTTATGTGTATATTTGTACCCAACAATTGATCGTGCACATTCATATACACTCTATTGGATTTGCACAGCACCGATTTATCGTATCACTTGTACCGCTCTGTTCTTTGTGGTTATCGCGGTGTTAATCATCGATATTATTTTATGATTTGTCCCCGATGGAAAAATCTTTTATCCAACGTGCACGTTTGGCAGCACACACGTTTTTCTCCCTTTATCTTCCAAATCTATATTTTTCTCTGTTTCTCTCTTCCTTGTCTCGATATGCGCGAGACTGAAAAAGAACGAGAGAGAAAGAGAGAGACAAAAAGAGGCAAATAGCGGACAGTCCGTAATTTTTATCAGCAAAAGTTTCGCGCCGTTTATCCGCAATCCCAAGAGGACATTGCAGTTTTGTCTCCCTCTCTCTCTCGCTCTCTCGCATTTTCAAATCCTATTTCTCTTTACTTTTGCGGCAGCTAAAGTAGGAAGTTACAGTAGGCCAATCCTCTCTTCCCTCAGGAACTTTTCGCTCTTGCCTCGGCACAAAATAAGCTTAAGCAGAGAAATGTCGCACGACGATATCCGGAAGAGTTTCCGTTCTCGATGAATTCTATATCTTATTGTTAATAAGATGCGATATCGCATCATAATTGAAAGCCTAATAGTCATTTAATCCGTAATTACTTTTTATAAATTAATTAGTTTATATTTGCTTGTGTATGTGTGTGTGTGTGTGTGTGCGTGTGTGCGAGTGTGTGCGTGAGTGCGTGTGTGCGTGTGTGTGCGTGTGTGCGTGAGCGCGTGTGTGCGTGTGCGTGTGTGTGTGTGTGTGTGTGTGTGTGTGTGTGTGTGTGTGTACACAGAATATCAGATCTTTTTATCATCTCTAATGAATCCTAAGATGTTATATAAAAAATATATTTTTCAAACAAACAGCTTGATTTCGAAAAGGATGATCAACATTCAGATACAAACATTCATAAAATTTCAAGATTTTTTTGTTTTTTCTCTAATTTTTTAATATAAAACCGGTATATTTTCTCTAATCCCATTAACAGAAAAAATGAAAAATTTGGAACTTTACATAAATTGCAATTGTACTATAACTCAAAGGACTAGATCGCTGATATCAACTCCGGGCTCAGATTTTTAAAATTTCAAATAACAGATCAATTTTGTGCGATTTTAGTTCCGCAATATTATTAAGCATATATCTTATATATATGTATATCGAGATAGAATACGAGGTGCTATTTTTAAACTGCAAAAGATGACATTATCTGTAAGTGAAAGTATCAAGATAGAAATATCACAAAATTAAGTTTATTAATAACTGATCTTGATACGTCATATCATAAAAAAAGTTTAGTAAGAATATTAAGGATAAAATGTAACTGTTAAAAATAAAAAAGGTCGATTTTTTGCAATAAAAGTGGCTCACTTGACATAGAATATTCCATATATATGTATATAAGTATATTTACAAAAATAATCAAATTATTTTTACTTTATTATTCTGCAAAAATTTAGCAAATATTTTAATAAATAATAAATATTTTATGTTCGTGTTGATAGAAAATTCTCCTCGAAGCAAAATAATCTCTCATATTCTGTATATGTGTATACATATAGAATTTCTAAATTAATCCATCAAAATTTATTCCGAGAGTTATCTTTTCCTTGGTGAAAATATCGACTTTAACTTTTAATAATATAACCAATTAGCTGGGCGGAGAGAAAATAAAAATTTTTGTTTTAATTCAAATTTTATCTCGAAATTAAATGAAGACGGTTTCGGAGAGTAAACAACACGATCGCGAACTTCCGGATCGCGTCGTTGCAGTAGTTGCCGGCTATCCAGGGATTCACCGCGTATAATCGATTAATGATCGTCCATTGTGGATTAGTACCTCCACGCTGGGTGGTGGAGCCACAGGACGCCCGCGCGTCGGAGGGGATGCCCCGATTGAGCCTGCATTGCCACGCGGACGGATTTCCGCCGCCGCTGGTCACGTGGCGGCGCGGTAGCGGCAGAAAACCGGGCGATTATCACGACATAGCCAACCACGAGCACATGCAAGACCTGAGGATACACTCGAACGGCTCACTGGTGTTCGGTCGGGTGCAAGAGGATCATGAGGGCTTTTATCTGTGCGAGGCTATGAATGGCATCGGAGCCGGGCTCAGTAAAGTCGTTTACCTCACCGTCAATGGTACGTTTGATTTTATATTAAGTAATTTGTAGACTAAGCGCAAAATCTCGTTTCTTCATTATAACAATGGAAAAGGTTTATTCGATGGTCTCTCTTTTAAAGCTGCACGTAATATCCTTTTTATGGTCTGGTAATTGTCAAAAGAGAATTTAACAACGTGAAATGTCATTTTTTCACTACAAAAATATTATATTACATCTTCCAATTGTCATTTGCAGTTAATGAAAAATATACTTCAATGCGCTAACTAAAGCTTTGCGAGACAAAAGTATCCCTCTTTTTCTCTCGAAAATTTCTTTCAGAAGAACTAGTTTCCTCTAATTGGCGATTAACTCTAATTGGATTTCGAAGATGCTTCACGTATTATCAACAGTGTGACGATTGACCCATGTAGTCAATTAGAGCTTTATCCCTTTGAGGCAATGGAAAAATATTTTCTCATAAAATAATCAAATTGCCTAAATACTTCCTCCGCAGAACGCAGATCTCTCTTAGTTTTCAGAGCAAACATTAACGGTGACAGTAATTTAATATAATACATTTTTTTCAATAATATGAGAAATTAAAAGCTTCGTGTAAATTTTTTTATAATCTCTTCATTACTTTTACATTCTAAACTTTCAAATATTATGTATATTTTGATTGTATGAAAGTAATTATAATTATTAACTAATTATTATAAATATTGCGATTTTGAGTTACACAATTGTGAAACTAAATTTGTATTTTTTTTCAGAAGAAGAAAAATAAAAAAATTTTTTAAATTATCGATAGCACGGTAAAGTTGATACCTACTTCAAACTTTAAAATGCTATTTCAATTTTTTGATTATGATGATTTTTTGCCGAGTATAAACATTATTTAAAAAAAATACAGCTTTAGTTTATTGTGTAATTTAGTTAAAAATATTGTAGGAAATTTTTTAAAATAGCATTTTGTAAGCAAAATATTGTAGTTTATGAAACTCGAATTGAATTTTTTGAGACATTTTTTATCGAACATCAAAAATACGTAATTTTAAAAAACAGAACTGTGTATTTTTTAAAGCACATAATAAGGAAGATAAAAATTTTTAAACTACCGAGAGCGTATTAAAGTTAAAATTTTAAAATATTCAAAATGTTTTTTTTAATTTTATGCCTACAATAATTTTTTGCCGAGTTTGAAAATAGCCTATAAATATGAAAAGCGTTCCCTATTTTTTAGTAGTGTATTATATACACTACTAAGTGTAAATGTATTATATACACTACTAAATAAAAAATTGTGTGACTTATACAAATTTAGATAGACTTATAAAAATACATTTCCATTACTTCTTTTGTTCCTTGTCTGATCAAACCTATAGTTTTCTACTAGCACCGTAATAAGAAAAGTTTTATCAAGAAGCAGAACCTTGTTTAATTATCCTGAGTTACAGTCTGTGATAACATAATATGTTTCAACATCTGTTGTGCATCTTGGAGATGACAATTCACCTTTATATCCAATATGCATTATTTTTTAATTGCACAGTTCCCGCGCATTTTGTGGAAAAACATCGCAATCAGACCGCGAGACTAGGCTCGAACGCTTCGCTACGCTGCGAGGCAAAAGGCGATCATCCTTTGAAAATAGCCTGGAAGAAGGCCGGCTCCCAATTGGATCCGAAACTTCCCGACTATCGTTATACTCTGAAAGAGGACAATACCACCGATGGTGTCGTCAGCGTTCTCGGTTTCATCAGTACTAGTCGCGAAGATAGCGGAAGATACTTTTGTATCGCATCTAACACTTACGGCCGCGACGAGATGACAATTCACCTTTATATCCAAGGTGCGTAAACGGCTGACAAATTCTCATCAAAACATATGTCCTCTCACAAAGAAAATTGTCGACATCACATCACAAAATTGTAGCAGGAATTGACACATATGTACACTGAAAAAAATGTATTCTCCTTTTACAAATGTGCCATTTATTTTTAGAGTATTCTGTTTTAAAATAGGCATTAAAAGGATCCTCTTTCATTTTAAGAGAGGAATTCTTTAACGATTAGTATCAGATATTCTTAATTTATAAAATATAGATGTGTGTGAAATTGGGTGGGTTTATTTTTATATTAACAAAAAAGTACATTATTTCACAGCACACAGGTAGATTATAAAAATAAACCATAAAGAAAGATATAGCTAGACATGGTACATATAGACTGAACATGAGAGCTGGATCCCGAATGATTAAATTATATTACACGTTACTTACTCCTGCTGAACACTTCTCTTAAGTCGTTCAAGTCTTCTTTTTTAAATCACTTATTAACTTTTCTCATCCAGTCTTCTAATAAATTAAACCATTCAGTGACGAACACTACACTGCACTGTAAATTACAATTACTATCTAATAGCTTATTGTTAGTTTACACCGACACTTCAATACGTATACTTAATATTACACTGGTCAATCATAGCTATTTCACTAAAGAATGGATGACTATATGATAGCTAGTACAGTACTTCGTTAGTTCGTGTATTATCGATGTACATTAAACCAATTATATATGTTGCTGCAACATGATCATGCATGATCATGTAACCTCAAATAAATGGTCCGCATAAAAGAAACGTATGATGGTTTGTTATTAACCAAAAATATGTATTCTTAGTTTTATAGACTGTTCGACAAACACTTAAGAATATCTGTTAAAAGGAATTTTATAGTCCTCTTTTACTTCAAGAATACAATTTTTTCGGTGTACAGAAAGAAATTGAACAACACTTACGCGCAGAGATGAGAGATGATAGAAATAATAACGATATTAATAAATTGACATTGTGTTGCGATGATAATAATCATTTGCGCGTTGTTGAGCAGATTATCACTGGAGAGTATGAAATTATTGCAAAGCGTACTATCGCAATGATACCTTCGGGGCATCGGATGTTTGTGCATAATGCTATTTCACTGAACGTAATTATCGTAATGTATACAGGCACTCGACAACGCGCGTCCATTTAATTTAATGTACGTTCGCACAAGTACGCGCGCGACGAGAGAGAGATGAGCCAGCTACATGTTCTCTAAAATGAGAGATACGCTTCGAGCGAACGTATTGCGCCGGATAACCCGGTGAAATATGCATAATGTGGAACGCGACAATCGTACCATAACCGAAAATTATTCCATTGGATGTGACGCGCGCTGACGCTCTGTTCCGGAATTAGGCGAAAATTTTCAACTAATTACCGAACTCTAATTTCGCGTAATGAAATGTTTTAAATAGAGCGCGTGGCGAAAATTGGATATGACTAATGTGACTAATGTGATTTAAAAATCGCAGATTAAATGCTGAAATGTTGACGTATTCTATTGTGTACGTATGTAAAGCTTCTATTAAAATATAAAATTAAGAATAACGAAATGTATATTCTTAATATATCTTCTTTAATATTGTTGGCCTGTGTCGATCATAAGCGCTCTATTTTTACTGTCCATAAATTGCTTGATAGGGTCTTCTTGCTATCAAGTGCTTAAATATTTGATTTACACTCAAAAATAGACTTTAAAATAGAAGACACGTACAGAAACGCATTTAAACACATCCGTACTTGTTCAAGGATTACAACGGACTCTCCAATCCGAGTTCACCTATGCTAGTATATATAACATATACAATATATAACATATAAGTATATATAACATATATAAATATAAGAAAGAAGAGTGGTCGATATATATTAACAATAAAAACGTACATCACAAAACAATATTTTGAATATCGCAAAATTTATAGTGTGTCAAGACTACAAAATTATATCGATATTGAATATAGAACCGCCAGACTTCCCACGGAATCTTCACGTGATCGAAAAAGGCAGTCGTCATATCAATCTGGGCTGGACGACCAGTCAAGATGGGAACAGTCCGATTACCCAATACATAATCGAGTATAAAACCGAGTCAGGTAAGTGTATTTATATTCGTATATTTGTAATCGATTTGACTAAAAGAATCGAGTAAGTCTTTTAATTATAAGACATAATACGCTATGCAGTTAGGTAAACATTAATAAAAACAAGAAGTATAAAAGAACAGCAATATCATATATCTTCATAATGTCGTACACTTGTATTTCTCTACTAGTAAATGTTGCACTCTCTTAAAAACTGTCTTAATTGCTTCTCCTTTATGAAAGATAACATTAATCTAGTTGTGGAAGTGAACGAAGTAGTCAGTTTATCAGTGTAAATTATTTCAGTTTTGGTTTCAAAAAAATTTTGCATATTTAGGTTTGCGTATGTATTAAAGTAGATGTTTATAAAAAAATACGTGAAAGTATTTTTTTAACATACATGCAATTTGTATGTTATATGTTTTTAAAATTTTATTAATATAAGTTAAATTGTAGAGTTGTATGTTTTGAACCACTCACATTTTCAACGATGAAGGATGACGCTGATTCATTTTACTTTGCACTCTGTCCGATTTTCATTTGTTTTTAACTATTCAACATCACCTAATTTTTAATTGTATGTGTCAAATTTTTCAAGTTTTTTTTTACGCTGAAGATGGTCTCACAACAAACCGAAACATATGTACTACGATAATTAAAATGAATTTACTTAGTTTTTTCTAATTACATGTATTTATATTAATTAACTGTTTTTTTATTTTTGCATCCAACTTTCTGCGCTGGTTTAATACTGTTAATTTTAATTAACAATAACTTTAATTTTTTGATAAGAATTCCTAATTGTCGCCAGACACAAATTAAAAAACTAAATATTTTTCGACCGATACTGGTCAATTACTGTTTATTTGTGATTAATCAAATTAATCAAAAACGATATAATATTCCCAATATCGGAAATTATAATTTTTTATGCTTTTACTTAAGAAAAAAGGAATAATAATATTATCAAAAAAAGTCTTGTTTATTAATTACAATTAGAAATGCATATAAACTACGTCATTAATCTGATTTTTATTTTCTAAAAAAATGTTTAAATATAAGACTTCAACAAATTTCTATATTAGGCAATCTTATATATAGACACACTTCCCTTAATTATAAAAATCTATTAATTATAAATATTCAGATTCATATCAAAGAAATGAAATCTCCGCGAAATGATGACGTTCAATTTTGCAGAGGTATGGCACGACCACACATTTCATACAACGGTGCCGGGCACACGTGCTCGCGGCCACGTGAGCGGCCTGCGGCCTGCTGTCACTTATCAGTTCCGGATGTACGCGGACAACGAACTGGGTCGGAGTCAGGCGAGCGACGTAGGTATCGTAGGCCAGAGCTCGGGCAGCATGACATTTACAAGTCAAATTCCGCATTCGTCGACGCTCGTTTCGTCGCCGACACCTCCCACCGGCCTTCCCTTTCTGTGGCTCATTCTCGCTTACCCCGAGAATTAAAACAATTGGGACACCGGTGTGTAACCGAGCTCTCGATCGATATTCCCGCGCGCGTAAAAAAAACTATCTCATCCCGAAACGAATCCCTTTCTTTGTCCGTCACCTCTTGGATGGACCGCATTGTTGGCCTGGATTTAAATGCGCCGCATTGCTCCTTCAGGCATATCAATTCACTTCTTTTTCTTTTTACGAAGAAGAATTCGCGCGATTAAAGAAACAGGTTGCAGTATTTCCGGCATGATGCGACGCTTTGAAGCGAGATATCGAACGAATCCTACAAAAAATACTTGAAAAAATTGTATTCTCATTTTAAGATATTGTCGCACTTATTTTTAGGATACTCTAAAATATAATGTATAAAAATATAGACAAAATGGGATTTATTTTAGGCGTAATCCGATAGCCCACACTGCTAATTGGCTAGTTGGACACTAAGATTCTGTAATTAAACCGTGCTGGTTACTCTGGTTACTTTTTCGAACCCACATAGCACAAAATTTTTCAGAAACTTATTCGCAAAATTGTTTCATATATGTTTTAGATAGGTGAAAATGTCCGCTATTTTTTATAAATATATATTTATATATTATGCGAAAGATTGCACAAACGTTTCAAATGTTACGTTTTTATGTTATGTTTTTTTAGATGTTCTACTGACGTTTTTGTATTGTTTAGAAACTATTTTAAAACTGAAATGTTTCTGTTGAGCTTTGTGCTGTGTGAAATATATACTAAATGAAGAGAACCCTCCTACTTATATGTTTACGTTAACAAAAAAGTACATTATTTTATGCAATACACAAACAAAGAAGACTATAAACTACTGAATGATTAAATTAGGTTATGTTATACGTTATTTACTCGTTAATACTTAAAGTCATTAAAGTCTTCTTTCTCAAAGCCAATTATTAATTTTATCTATTTTTTTATAATAAAATAAAATCATTCAGTGATTCAAACACTGAACTGTACTGTGAATTGTAATATAACCGTATCTGCGTTACTGCAATATAATCATATGGCTGCGTTCCGAAATATTCATTACTAGTGCTGAAAATCTATAGTACGTGACGTAAACTGTATAGAATTTCAATACTGGCAATGAATATCGGAACGCAGCCCATATAATACCAAATAAAGAGTTCTTATAAAAAAACATATCGTTTGTTAATTACAAAGAATATATTCCTGGTTTTAAAAAATATTTTAGAAACACTTAAGGATATCTGTTAAGAAGAATTTTATAGTATACAATCCTGTTACTTGGAGAATACAATTTTTTCGGTGTTTAATAGAAATCCATAAGACTGATACATGGCGATAAAAGTTCATGATATATCGGATTCAGTCGTTTTATTAAAAAACTATTTTTGTTTTTTTTTTTCGATAGATTTTAGAAACAACAACAGAAGGGGAGAAGCCAGGTGGACCGCCGCGAAATCTCAAAGTGGATCCCATCAGCTCGACCGAATTCAACGTCACCTGGGATCCGCCCGATCATGATTTATGGAACGGCGAGATACTCGGTTATCACGTCGGCTACAAGGAACACAGGTAACGACCGAAAACGGCGCCGTTATTTTAACGACGCGTCCCGACTGATAGGAGTTTGTGTTTCCTCACTAATACATACATACATACACAGACAACTGTCAGAACTCCAACTTCCTGGATCTCGTCCATAGAGCTGATACCATAGAATTCACGCGCCATTAATAAACGACGAGCTATCTCGGGGTCAGTTATTTATTCGCTTACGGCAACGCTGACAAATCCTCGAAAAACTTTACGTTGTTTTTTCATATTTGTTTTTTCTGCATTTTGTTGTACGGCTTTAGCGCGCTGTATCTATTACAAACTATAGATACATGTAAATCGATCAATTTTTTCATTATTTAAATTTATCCTTATTAAAATCACTTCAATATATATATATATATATATATATATATATATATATATATATATTTATATAAATTTTTTTTTTTAAATTTTACTACTATAATTTGTTCTTCAGATATTTATTTATTTCATTATTTTTCATTTATGTATTTCATTATCTTTTTATTTTATTTTATTCATTTTAATTTTTTATTTTATTTTTTTCATTCAATTTTCACTTTATTCAATAATATATTATACTTTCAAGCTGCCTATAATTCCCGACAAAATGAATAAATAAAACTAAATTATTCATTTTAAATTGTGTAATAATACAGTAAATATAAATTTAAGTTTAATATGTATCAAAAAAATAGTCACTTGAATATTATATTACATACAATTTATACACACATTCTCATTATATTTTATGTTATAACATATATATTCTAGAAAAATCATTTAAGAGATAAAATTACTGATCTTTGTGAGTTGACGTTTTATTTTAATATTTTTTGTTATAACTGGATTTAACAAAGTTACTTTAGATGATTTATAATTCATGACAGAATTTAGAACAGAATTTTATTTAAAATTTTTAAAATTATTGTATATGTATGTGCAGGTCTGTCATGTCATATTATAAATATAATTAGAAATAAGACAAAATTTTTGTATTACACAAATCACAAATTCGATTTATAACTACAGAACGCATCATGCCATGCAATTCTAGTATCGATTATAGTAATATCCATAATTATAGGAAAAAATATCCGTTAAAAATTGATAGATCTTTAATAATCTAATTAGGATTACATAAGACTTTATTTACGAGCGATAATAGATGAAAATTATATTTTATAGTATTCTAATATAAATACATGGTAGGTATACCTATATAATAGTATATAAATATCGAGGACGATACGTTTCGACATTTACTTGTGTTTTTTCAATCGTTAAATTAATCAATATAACAATTTGTCAATTTTAATTAGCGGTTGTAGTCGGAAAATTTGTATTCTTCTTATTGATTAACACGGTGTAGTCGGAAGATTAATTAGTCGATATTTAGGTGCGGCTTTGCCTGTATACATGTTGTTCTGCTAAGAGATGTTACTAAATGTAGCTTAATAATCTAATTCGTAACTTTCACAAAATTTTTAATTATAAATATTTGATCAATCATAGTCGACACAAAAAATTCCTTTCGAAATTTGAAAATCCCAACAATGTACTTAATTTTAATATAATAAAAAAACGCTAACATGTCGCATAACATAACAATCTAAAATACGTTAAAATAGTCCATTATATGCGACATCAACCACAAATTTTCCAAAATGTGATAAAACACTTTTAAAAACGGATCGTATTCAATATCAAAAAGACTACAAGCGATGGTTTTATTTTTTTAAACTGTGTTATAGACCTTCTAAAAAAGGAACTTTATACGAGACATAATAAACTCAAAATAGAATTTTGCCTCTTTTATTTATTTTGCAGATTACAGTTAGTTTGAAGTTAAAATATAATGAAAAAAAAATATTTGAAGAACAATTATAGGTAGTGGATTTTAAAAGTTTGCATCACATTATTTTCTCTCTATCAAGTTTGTATGTGCATACATATCTATACATATATCACGTTTGCTGTATAAATCTATATGATAATAGTTTTACATTTTTCCCTTGTAATCTAATAATAAGATCTCCAAAAGTTTGTCTAGAGAGTTTAGGGTTCAAACGAGACACTTGACACTTTCCTAGCAAAACTAATTAATCACATCAGCCAGGTGTAACGAACACTTTCGCGAAATTTCAGGTTGGGGGCGGAGCAGTACACGTACAAAACCGTGGAAAGACGGATCTCGACGGCGAGCGTCGCTCTCGGTCTAGCAAGAACGTCCATGCCCGGACGGCAGCATCACTTGACGAACTTGAAGAAGTTCACGCGTTACAGTGTGGTCGTTCAAGCGTTCAACGCCCTCGGTCCCGGTCCTATGACGCAGGAAGTTGTGGCGTCAACACTCGAAGATGGTGAGTGACACTGCGTGAAAAACACGACCGATATCCATCTCCGAGTTTGAAGATTCAGACTCCATTTTCCATATTGACCAGTTTAGAATTTAAAACAGTCTACTGAAAACGTTTGTCTTTCGAATCTACATAATGGTATCAAATCAATATCGTTTAAATCATTTAATATTATCCTATAAGACTTAATTTCATCCTATAATGAAGCGGTCGAAGTACATTTTATCTCTTCTATAATAAAAGTATATAAATTCTGTCGCGAGAGAATCGATGAAAATAATAATATATTTCGAACACGAACCTATACGCGAATGTAATCTAATCTAATATTCGCAAGCTTAAGATCGAACGTTCGATTAAGCGAGTCCTTTCGTCTAGAGGTCTATTTTCGCGTCGCGAATCTCTTCAAGAATTCATGAATGGAATAATATTCGCACCTCTCTCGCGAGCCTATCGCGAATTCCGGTCATGAATACCGACCTTGCGGTCGCGCGACTTCCAGCATAAATAATAAATTCAGATGCGGCATCTCCTCTCCCCGCATGCATTCACGAATAACTTCTTTAATCCTGTCCTCGTCGGATCCTCGCGCCGAACTCGACGAAACTTTCAAGTGCACTCTGATATTTTCGATCCCCCTTTCTCGACGATGGCATCGAACCCCTTTAACTTTTCGTGCGAATACGTTTTTGAAATATTCCATGCATACAGTCATGTTGCTCTCGAATATGCCATCGACCTTTTAAATGCGACACGTTTTATGAGTTGTATCGTCCACATATTTCTCAGATTATTGAAATCGTAAAAATATTTCCAGTTTAGAGTCATAATTTTTTTACTGAAACTATAATCTATACGAACGAACATCCATCGCTATATGCGGGTGAGTCAAAAGTATATGTGTACGTTTTAAAAATTTGTGAACGTGTATAAAAAAGAATAACAAATGTTCATATGAACATATCGTAAATGCTGCGTTATCGAAATAAAATGGACATAAATCAGCAATATTACAACGATTTATTTGAACGCGTAAAAAATCGTTTTTTTTTTGTAGATATTTTATGATACCTTAAATCGTTCCAGTCCCGAGCAGTCCTCCGCAAGACGTGCGTTGCACCGCGCTTTCGTCGACATCCTTGCAAGTCTCCTGGGACTCTCCGCCTGACTCTAGTCTGAACGGGGTCTCGAGAGGTTACAAGGTCATGTGGGAGAGCACAGACGCGCTGGCGGAGTCAACCAAACCAGAAATGAAGATCACCAACGCTCTGACGGTGATGATCCACGGACTTGAGAAATACATGAACTATTCGGTCCAGGTCCTGGCTTTCACCAGAGCGGGCGACGGTGTCGCCTCATCGCCGCTGTATTGTGTAACAGAGGAGGACTTGCCGGAAGCGCCGGCCAACATCAAGGCTGTCGCCAGCTCGGCCTCGTCCGTCATCGTCTCGTGGCAACCGCCCCAAAAGAGCAACGGCAATCTTACCGCCTATAATGTGCATATTCGAGGATTGGGACCGGAAAGTAAATGGCACAGGAGAACCCTGCCACCGTATCAAACCAATTACCAAGCGGAGGATCTGCACAAAAGGAGCCAGTACGAATTCACCGTCGCGGCGGTCACCTCGGTCGGCGAAGGCTCCCAGACCTCGTCCGTCACAATCTCACCCTCCAGTGAAGGTAAAAAAATGCAAAAAATTATCTTCTGGGGGATGCCGGAGACGGTCTGTCTTACCGACCGAATGCGAATATTGATTTTGGGATATCTTTATTGATTATACAGATCAATAAATCCTTTTTCACGATTAAAGTACTTATAAAAATGGACCGAGTTGGCTATAATTCCATATACAGTATAACCATATAAAAATAAAAAATTAGTTTTGTTATCGACTTCTTTTGTGTCAGTTCGTAACAATATTTATTTAATAAAAAAAGTTCTGTAGTTTGCCTGTTCATAAGATATATAGCTCGCGCAATAAGAATAACATGAAAGAATATTAGTGAACAATTAGAAGTGAGATTACAAATCTAATAAAAAAGTTATAATTAATATTCACGCATATATAAATTTTCACGCATATGTGTGTGTATATGCATGTGTATATGTGTATATGTGCGTTTATGTGTGATGCTAATCTATCGAAATTCAGTCGGTAAGACAGACCGTCTCCGGCATTCCCTTAAGGGGATGCCGGATGTCTGTTTTATCGATCAGATGATTATAGATTTTTCTGCACCGAAATCTTTTTATTGGTTTAATAAAATAATAAATGCTTTTCCACAATTAAAACACGTACAGAAACAAAGTGGGAACTTATTGATTTTATGTTAAAAAAATTTAAAAATTTAAAAATCTAAAATTTCTGTTATCACTTCTGTCGTCAGGTCGAAAAAAATAATTGTTTAATTAAAGTTCTGCTGTTTGTACGTACAATAAGATAGGTTTCGACTAGAAATTGAAGAAGTATTAGTATATTTTTAGATATAAGTTTAAAAACCTAATAAATAAGAAAAAACGGTGCAGAAAATTTTCACGCATATGTGTTGTATACGTGCATATGTTTAGACATGTGTGGTGCTAACTTATCGGAGTTCGGCCGTCTCTCCGGCATCCCCTTAATATACAGCCAAGGAATTCTCTTACTTTAAAGGGATGCTGTCTTAGTTCTGTTTTACCGACTTTGAGTTCAAGAGAATTAATCTTTTTAATTATTTTAAAATTCTCCACAATTAAAGTACTGATAATAATGAACGGGGAGCGCTGTTCAGCAATTAATTTTTGCTGTTTTATGCCTAGACATCGATTCCGCACGCAAATATACATACATTTAATTCAAGTACGAATATTTTCATACAGGCTCCTATATAATCTTATTTTTATTAATTCTATTATTCTTTCATGTCTCTATTAGGAACGTCATATTTTGTGCACGCACAAACTGCAGAATTTTTGTATTAAATAAGTATTATGACTGATGCAAGAGGCCGATAAAAAGACTAATTTTTTAACTTTTATTATCTTTTTATATGAAATTACAGCGTTCATTATTATCAGTACTTTAATTGTGAAGAAGGATTTTTTAATCTGTATAACCAATAAAAATATTAGCCCTTGAACTCAAAGTCGGTAAAACGGACGTGGTCAGCATCCCCTAAGAGCAGAATCTTCTAAAGATTAGCATTAGATATTCTTAATTTATAAAAATGCAGACGAAATTAAATTTATTTTTACATTAACAAAAATAAAATACATTAGTTTACACATAGCACACAGACAAAGAAAGATAGTATTGATACCGTACACGTAGAGTGAGCATAGGACATAGAACCTTAAGTACTGAATAATTAAATTAGATTATTTTGCTCGTTACGGGAGAGATCCAAATATACAATGCAATTGGATACAACTACTCGACTTATTGTTAGGATAACTAACATTGACCAATCAAAAAAAATCTGTGTTCAATTGTTTAATAAACAATGTGTTTAATTGGGCGCCATCCTTTTTACTTCCTCGTAAATACTTCTCTTGAATTATTCAAATCTTTTCTTTCGAGTCAATTATTAACTTCATCAATTCTTCTAATTAACTAAAACCAATTCAATGATAAACACTACACTGTATTGTAAATTTGCAACAGTATACCTATAATCATATACATTGCTACAATATTATATATCGCCTATATAACACCAAAGAAACAATTTACATAAAACTACATCTAATCGTTGTTATTAACAAAGAAATTTTGGATATTTTATATAAACCGTTAGTATAAAAGAGAGAAATAGCGGATATTTTTTATTAAAAAATTTGACAACACGATCAATTTACAAAAGGACACAGACAGTTTGACTAATATTTATGACAAAATAATAAAGGTCGTCTAACATAATTTAGCGGTTTCACGGTTATTTTCTGACAATCTTTCGTAATGACATGATGTTCTTTTTTTTTACTTATTGACGGATTATTACATATGAAAAAGCGTTCGCATTATTATCATAATTGTAAGTACTTTTTAATTCTACTAAAAAATTTAAGCATTTGTATCTTATTGTATATGTATGATTTTTAGTGTATTTTACTTGAAAAGGACCACAACCACATGGTTAAAACGTCATATTTTTAAAGAAATGAATAATTGATAGTTTGATTAATAAATCAAAGCCTATATTAACAAAAAATATATTCTTAGTTTTAGTTGGAAGATCTTCTAGAAATAAAATATCTGTCAAGCAGGATATAGTTTTCTTACTTCAAGAATACAATTTTTAAGTATGTAATCTTTTATTTATAATCGCCGAGTAATGATGTCGATATAATCGACTCGTAATATAATTGTATATTCGTAATACAATTAGAAAATTGTACAAAAATGCGAGTGATTGATACATCAAAAATTCGCCCCAGTCACGAAACTTTTAGTTGCCAAAGTTATTTTTTGATACAAATTGGACTAGTTATAAAGTTACATCCGTTAATTCCATTCGGATAAACATCCGTTTTCGCGAGCTAAGTGAATTGTCTGCAGGCGACTAGAGTAACAAAATACCGAGTGTTTATGTTTGTTAATGAGAGACATGCTTTTTATTTCTCCTTTAGTCCTGAAAGTTTTTCGCAAACTTTAAATCTTCTCCATCAGAAGAAATATTTTCTTGAATTTGTCCCGCGGTTGATATAAGCTAACTTCCAATTAAGTGACCGTGTTTATCGTATTTATTCAGCTTTTTCTTCCCAAGGAGTAAGGTTTTCGTTTCATATACTTTATTACAGTTCGTGCCGCCATATATTCATTCGGTACCGTACTTGTTGTACCGTGGAAGCAAGACGTGATGTTGCCCTGCGAAAGTGTGGGCAAGCCATCTATTATCTGGAAGCAATGGGGTCAAATAGTCAAGCCATCTGCCAGAGTGTCCCTCCATATCAATGGATCCTTGCAAATTGTTGATCTCCATCGAGAGGACAGCGGAAATTATACTTGCTTCGTGGAGAATCGCCACGGTTCTGATCAGATAACTCATCGTTTAACCGTACAAGGTAAATGCTGGTTAATTTCTGTGAAATAATCACGCATGCAAAGCTTATAAGATGAAGAATGAAATAGAACGGATAGTTTTTCTTTTGGTTGATGTATGTATTTATAAACTTCAAAAATATAGTTATTTAAAATCAGATAAATCATTTTAAAGCTTTTGCATACTCACCACAGCTATTTTGACGTCAGAAGCAAGAAAATATACCATGAAAATTCTTGCGATTTACGTTAAAATAAAAAAGTTTTTCAATAAAATAGCATTTGAAATCGATAGAACAGACATGTAAAATATACTGAAAACTCTCCTTTTGTTTGGATATTCAATAAATAACATACATATATGTCGAATTGAATTGAGCCTAACCAAGGACGAAAATCAACTGTTTGACAGGTATCGAAATTAAATAAATATTTGCTTTCACATATTAAATTATGCCAAAATGGGAGTCTTCGGTATATTTTAACATCACGACAATTATTTTAAACATAAAAACACTGCATTAAAATGAAAAATAACGTTGTAAGTCGCACAAATAATTTAGCTTTCTAAAATGTCATTTATGGTATTTATGGTCATTTATGGTCATTTATTAATAAACAAAATCGTATTATTTATTAATTATATTATTTTGATTCATTATTGTACATCTTTTATCGATAAAACAATATAGAATTTTATTTCCACCATTTTTAATTATAATAAGTCGTCACTGTCAACGCGGACTTGGCGATTGAGTATGCAGTAGTCTTAAGTAATCCTGTACTATCCTTTATCAAAACTGTTTTACTACTTTATGTATTTTGCATTGTCATATCATGTTTGAAAAAGAGGAGAACATCTCAAAACAGTTTTTTCTCAAGGAACTTACAATCGGCGATCGTAATGTGCCTACAAGACACGATCCTTAAATCAATATTGTCTCGCTTTCAGTTCCACCTGCGGTGCCACTATTACACGCGACCAGTACTAGTAGCAATTCCATCAATGTGCAGTGGAAGAATGGCGACGACGGTGGCTCGCCGATCCGCGGATACATTCTGCACTACAAACGCGAGTCGGGCGAGTGGGAGGAATTCAAAGTATCGCACAAAGTGAGCAGCTTCGTTTTATCGCGGCTGTGGTGCGGCAACAATTATCAGATGTACCTGACAGCGTACAATCGTATCGGCATGGGTAGACCCAGCGAGATCGTTAAGGCTACCACGAAGGGTTCGAAGCCGGACGATTCGCCCGGTACTGGCGACAAATTTGTCACAGTTAACGTCTCATGGATTACTCTGCACCTCAGTACGTGGAACGACGGAGGTTGTCCTATAACGTTTTTCGAGCTCGAGTACAAGAAGAGCGGCGAGAATATATGGACGCTAGTCTCGAATAATATAGAGGTATGTAGAAATATATTTTGCTGTATATTAATGGTATACGCAATAAGTCTGTATCGTTTTGGCTACTTGGAGAAATCGTACTTGGAAGTTTTAGGTAAAAATTTATACAAATTTATACAATTTATAAATTATATACAAATAAATATATAATTTTTAATATTATAAAATTATATACAAATAAATATATAATTTTTAATATTATAAAATTATATACAAACAGAGAGAAGGATGAGAGTGGTCATCCCCTCGATTTAGCTGCAACCGGAATTCAAAGCGCCTCTATGTGCACAAAACGTGCACATTGAACTACGTAGCCATGTGCACGATGCTCCCGAGTGGTAACAGGCTATGTGCACGGTACGTGGTTCGATTCCGTGCTATGTGCACAGATGAGCGCCAGTAACACGTAGCTGTTAAAGGAGATGAGTTCGAGACCTCGCAGGGCCAATTTTTTTTTTTTTTTTTTTAGTACGACTATATTTGTCAATTTAATGAAATCCTTTAATTATTGTGGAATAAAGAGATAAAATGCATTTCTCAAGCGTACGCGAGAAAATCGAAATCAAAAATAATGAGTGCCGTATAAATACGTATGGAATAGAGCGTTATATCGAAGAGCGTGTGGCGTAGCGTTAAGGGGCTAGACACGTACCGTCGAGATTAGAGGTTCGATTCTCAAGGAGTGACTTTTTTTTTAATATTTTTTTATTTTAAATAAAATTTTTTTTACCATAAAATGTAATTTTTACACAAAATAAATGTAAATAACACGATTTATTTACTTATAACACGTATATTACAAAAATGCATTTTTCTTTGCCTCAAAAAGCCGTGAAAAGCCGTCTGTAGAATAGCTGTATGCGATAGGAACTTGTATGATTATCTGTTTAATTAAAAATTATCCGATTTATGTCGTGTTTGGTGTCGTTGAAATCGCAAAAATCTCAATAATCCATTAATATTATTTTCGAATAGATAAAATGCAAAATAAAGGTTTTAGTTTTTCACTTATAAGATGTTTATATTTGTGAATTGCCATGGATGGGGAAGCCTATTGTTCGAGAGTTCGGAACGTTCTTTGATCTCGATACTCGGGCGCTCGGGCCCGCTTATCTTTTCGAGCTCATCTCACAACTCGTCGTGTGCGAGAGAGAAAGCGAGACTGCGTATAGAGCGAGCGAGAGGACCTATCATCAAAGAAAGTTCCGAACTCTCGAACAATAGGCTTCCCCATCCATGGCAATTCACAAATATAAACATCTTATAAGTGAAAAACTAAAACCTTTATTTTGCATTTTATCTATTCAAAAATAATATTAATGGATTATTGAGATTTTTGCGATTTCAACGACACCAAACACGACATAAATCGGATAATTTTTAATTAAACAGATAATCATACAAGTTCCTATCGCATACAGCTATTCTACAGACGGCTTTTCACGGCTTTTTGAGGCAAAGAAAAATGCATTTTTGTAATATACGTGTTATAAGTAAATAAATCGTGTTATTTACATTTATTTTGTGTAAAAATTACATTTTATGGTAAAAAAAAATTTTATTTAAAATAAAAAAATATTAAAAAAAAAGTCACTCCTTGAGAATCGAACCTCTAACCTCGACGGTACGTGTCTAGCCCCTTAACGCTACGCCACACGCTCTTCGATATAACGCTCTATTCCATACGTATTTATACGGCACTCATTATTTTTGATTTCGATTTTCTCGCGTACGCTTGAGAAATGCATTTTATCTCTTTATTCCACAATAATTAAAAGGATTTCATTAAATTGACAAATATAGTCGTACTAAAAAAAAAAAAAAAAAAATTGGCCCTGCGAGGTCTCGAACTCATCTCCTTTAACAGCTACGTGTTACTGGCGCTCATCTGTGCACATAGCACGGAATCGAACCACGTACCGTGCACATAGCCTGTTACCACTCGGGAGCATCGTGCACATGGCTACGTAGTTCAATGTGCACGTTTTGTGCACATAGAGGCGCTTTGAATTCCGGTTGCAGCTAAATCGAGGGGATGACCACTCTCATCCTTCTCTCTGATACAAATAAACATATAATTTTTAATATTATATTATATAGTATTACATTGTATAATATATATATTAGGTTTGTTCGTTTCGGCTACACTAACTACACTAGTTCAGAGATTATCTTTTTCCTTCCAATGTCGAGCAAAAAGACAATCTCTGAACTAGTGTAGCCAGTGTAGCCGAAACGAACAGACCTAATATATATTATAACACAATGTAATACTATATAATATAATATTAAAAATTATATTTACACTTGTATATAATTATAAATTTTTTATACCTAAAACTTCCAAGTACGATTTCTCGAAAACCATTCACTCAAATTAAAAAAAGAAACGATTGGTAAAGAGAATCAAAAGACCTTTAAAATTATATGCCATTCAAGCCCTATTGTCATTTATAAGATTTTTAAAGAAGTAACTGCCCCTAAACAAAAAGGATAAAATAGTAATAGTACTTATACTTTTCTCTCAAAAATAAAATTGACCTCTTTGGCGCATTTTTTTCGCAAAATTAGTTGTTCACAAAATAGTCAGGGTGGAAACTTTTAAAATGAACACTTTATATGTAGTATTTTGTAATATTGCATTTATTATTAACTCTTTTAAGATACAACTGCGATTAATTATTAACATGTTTTGCGTACGCATTGTACAGGTGCAAAAGACATATACTTTGAGTGAATTACAACCAGGAATCACTTATGACATCCGTATAAGGGCTCACAACGATGCCGGCTTGTCGGTGGCCGAGTACAAGATAACGACATTGCAACCGCATATTAGCACGACTATGTCCGCCATCGAGATCGATCATTACATCCCACAGCAGAACTATTCGGATCTGAAGCTCATCGTGCCTCTGGTGTTAAGCTCGTTCGCGATCATCGCCGCGGCCGGCGCTGTCTTTTACTGCTTCCGCAAACGTTAGAATCCAAAAAATGCATACATACGCAGATTTTTTCAAAGCTACAAAATTACAAACATTTTTTGAACGGAATACAGATAAATACAGATAAAACTATATGAAAAGATATCGTAAAATTTAATTTTAAAATAAGATTGTCTAGAAAAGAGTCAAACTCCAATAGAAATTTTTTAAAAATACCGCTTATATATTTGAAATATTTAATGCAGGTCCTTTTATGGGCGACATCGGGAGTCTGCATGACGCTCAAACCGCGGCCGCCTTAGACAATAAACAGAACATGGAACAGCGCGAGCAATATTACGCCACCGTACGTAAGCCGCTTCGTTCGCCGATACACGAGATGGCTACGTTAGAAAAAATACCAGGTGAGATGAGAGATAAAAGAAATTGAGCTCTCTCCCCTGTCTTTAAAATCGATAAGCATGGAGCAATAGATCTAAGAAAGATATATATTGAAATTACGCGAGAAGTAAACGAGTGCGATGCATTGTAAAGTTATTAACCAATCACAATTGTGAACATGCTTGTAGAATATTCGGAAGATATCTACCCGTACGCCACATTCCAGCTGGAGGAAAGCGTTCCTGCAGGAGGCGACAGCCGCTGCAATTCTGCCGCGCCTCTTCAAACCTTTGTCTATCACGACCCTCGTCTCTCCACTGCCGATACCCTTCAGTTACGAGAGGTATCGTCCGCCGAGATCTTGTATCGCTATTAGAGTTACTCGCCTCCTCGCCGCACGTTTTTTATTTCATTGCATCACATCTTTCCATATCTCTCTGATTTCTATATTCTAGAATTTATTTTACTCGAGAATTTTTCTCTCTACTCTTTTTTATCAAATCGAAAGAGCGAAAATTTCGCTTTATTTCGCAGAAATAATTACTTGTATATAGTAATAAATAGTAATAAATTTATATAGTTATATAATAATAACTACATATAGGAGAATAACTATATATTATTAATAATTATAATATATATATATATATATATATATATATTTTTTTTTTTTTTAATTATATATATTAATAATACAGTTATATGTAGTTATATATAATATTATTTATTCAGATAGAGTAATAATTATAAAATTAAATTACGTGACCTGAAGCTTTTTCAATAAGCTGTGATTCTGAAAGTTTTGTTTCTGAAAATATAAATTTATTCGTGTTTTAACGTTAAACGTGCGAAGAGAGAGACATGAATGATATATATCAACGCTTTTGTCATTCATTCTCATATATTCCCAGCTTCGTTATAGCTCACGTTAGTTGCATGCGCATCCCGATCAGTGCACCGAATCGCCACCCTATATCCTAATCACACAGTCGGCGACCCTCAGCGACTCGCCACTGTGTGAATATTTAGGTCATTCGCACTCGCATGCTCGGTGTGAGTTCCTCGTGCGTCCCGCGCACGATCGATGCGACGTGTGACGTAATTACGCGAATTTTAATTCGCGCGCACGAATGTGTTCCTAACTCTTTTTTTTATTATATTATAATTCGGGAATGCGAACTTTTCTCCGATTCTCAACGACGAAAAATCGCGAAGAGGGTTAGTAGTAATTAGCATCTCATTGCGAGTTACATCGTTGCGACTGCTGGTCCCATCTCGTTTCGTTTCGCAGCTGTCCTGAAATTTCGAATTCGCGAATCGAGGAGTTGCGGTATCGATTAGAGCGCAGTCTGGACCCCTATCGAACGCTGTTCGCCATTTCCGCATCTCTCGACGCCGTACCTCTCTGCTAGCTGTAGCACAAAACTCTCTCATGATTCATCGTATCATTCTCGCGATTCCTACATTGACGAAGTAGAATAGAGTTTCTGTAGAAAAAACGGTGACACACACACACACACACACACACACACACATACATACACACACTTCGTTAACACATTCCCTCCATTATTATATTTAAGTAGAAAGTAAAATAAAATATATATATCTGGAAATACAAGCAATTAATAAATCTGTCATTATATATAAAGAAAAATAGACATTAATAAGACATTAAAAATTTCTTACATATTCATGCATTAATAACAAATGGAATATGGTTTTAGAGAAAGAGATTATTAATCTTAAACCAATAATTTATATCTCAGTTTCTGTCAAAGATTAATTAAAGTTTGTAAAATTTAATATATTATATATATATATATATATATATATATATATATATATATCCAATTTGTACATACACATAGAAGAAGTACATTTACAAATATTTAGCTTTTTAAATATATATAAATTTTATTTTTTAAAATCGAAATATTTGTAAATCTACTTTACATATGTATGTATGTATAGTGTATTTGGCTAAACTTCTAAAATATGTATACCTCACGTTAAAATAAAGAAGAAAGTTTATATATACACAAAGAAAAAAAATGAGTGGTTCGGAAGTTGTATTAAATTAATTATAACTAGACAACACAACGCGCGCCTCTCGCGCGCCATTGGTATTGTTTTTCTTTATAGTTTATAATTGTCAATTGTTAATCTTCGCGATGAGAGTTGCTTGATACTTTCAGTTTAACAATAAAGCGACTAGAGATAAACAATCAGCATCGCAGAAAAGCGACAACAATACTTGCGAGAATGCTATTTTTAAAAGAGACAATTTTAATTCCCTAATTTCTACTATATATTACATAAATATAGTTTGTCGAATTATTATTATGTACATAATTTTAATTCGCCAAATTAATATTATGAACATAATTTTAATGTGTCAAATTTCTATATATTATGCATATAAATTTAATTTGCCGAATTTCTATTATATACATAATATAAATTCACCGAATTTCCATTATATACATAATATTAATTCGCCAAAATTATGTACATAATTTTAATTCGCCAACCCAGTGAGAAATGATGATTGAATCAACGTCGATTCGTTGTCGAATTGATGTCAAATTCGTCGAATCGATGACGATTCGACCAATCATTTCTCACTGAGAAATTTCTATTATAAACATTATTTTAATTCGTTGAATTTCTGTTATGTTCTTTAGTTGCGAGGAATACACCTTAGAAGTCTATCTAAGTATTTCGTGAATACTATATTGATTTATTCTGATTCTACATTATTGTGTCTGTTACCGCCTAAATAGGTGAATCGTATAGGTGAACACGTTCGCTCTCCAGTTTTTCGCGACGTCGCCTCACTTCTCGCGTACGAGCAGTAATCTTTCGACAAGCTAAATTATTAATACCCTATCAGATCGGAGTAAATCTTGAGGTCACGAATCTCGATAACGAGCTCTAATCTGAACGATCGCTTCTCGATCCGACTGAGACCGCCAAGGGAAACTAGACGCGTTTTACTGGATGCGCCAACGTGCGCGCCATCTCATAGAAACCAATTCCGTCTGATTGCAGTCGGATTGCAACCGGTACACTAAGGTGCGCGGAGGCCGTTCGTCCTCTGCGCCGTTGCACAAAGCGCACAAGGTCAGTCAGGGCAAGTCCGAGTCGGAGGAGTACGACACGCTGGGCTCGGACAGCGACACGGAAGTCGGGACCAGCAGCCGAACCGAGTCTTCCAATCACCTCGTCGATTCGCACCACTCGGCATCTGCGGCCGACTCGCGCGTCCACAGTATGCAATATTTTCACCTCTTTCTCTCTCTTTTTCTCTCTCACTCTCTCTGTTTCTCTATCTTTTTTTCTCTTTCGCGTTCTGTCTCTCACTCTCTCTCTCTCTCTCTCTCTCTCTCTCTCTCTCTCTCTCTCTCTCTCTCTCTCTCTCTCTCTCTCTCTCTCTCTCTCTTTCTCTTTCTCTTTTTTTATCTCCTCAGAAGTGTAGTAGTAGAATAGAAAAAAACAGCTTCTGAATCCAAAGAGAAATAGATCTTTGTTTTTTTTTCGGCACATCATTAGAGCTCCTACGCTGATCCCAACTTCCTGTTTTTGTTTTCCAAGGCAACGTGCAACTATTGTTGTTTCTCTACGGATATTTTAGTTCTGTCGATATCGCGAAAATACAAAAATTTGAGGACCACAATATAATCGCGTGCACGCTGTTTGTTTTCCCAGCGAAATTTTATTTACACACTATGTATGTACATGCGACTAGCTTCCTTGGTTGCAAAATCTTGCTTGTCATTCAAAACCGATTATATTATGCTGCGATAAGGATGTCTGACCATCGCACGAGAGCACTGTTGTCGTTCAATGTTTGACGAGGTAAAAGAATGAAACAAAGGAGACACATTTGCTTTGCAGACTTCCTGTACCATGGACCAGAATCTAGCACGTCTACAGAACCCTCACCGATTTTTGAGAGAAAATCGTTTCCTGGAAGGGGAAGACCCAAGTAAGCCTTGTTAATCAATACATATAATTCATTTTTCTCAAGTATCTACATAAATTTTATTTTCTTAATAGATAAAATGCTTATTTTATATTTTAATAATCGATAAATTCATCGTAATATATATAATACAAGATCATTAGATAATTAAAATCGTAATATATAATGAATTCCTCAATTGTCAAAATTTTCTCGAAAACAAAACCTTGTCTAAAAAAAATTTTATTCTACATGTTTTCTTCTTTATCATTTATTGGGGGATCCCTTGACGAACGACGAACTTCGACAAAATAGTAATGTCCTTATTTTGAAATTAAAAATATCAGTAATTACCGACTAATTTTCGAAGAATATACTGATATTTTGAATTCCACATTCTAAATCATCCAGATCAAACATCTATGTATTAGAAATCCATGTATACATGGCATACATGAAGGCACTTTTTGCTACGTTTAATATTATTATAGATTTGAACGTAAATATAACATAACAATATATATGTATTACTGTTTTTCGCTCTACTATGCCTACAATGCACGCACATATACGTATAAATCGTAGTGCAAATTATACTTTTATATTAGACTTCTAATCTAGATTTAGAGGCTAACAGTGCTTTTTCTCATGTACTTTAATCCGAGAGATCTTGTGTTTATATTCATACAAAATGTATATCTATATATAAAGCACATAATATGATAAATTGACAGCTCGTCTGTCATTTGAGAAGTCATATCGAGATAAAAGTAAATAAGAAAAACTGTAATTTTGTAATTATTTCTCGTTTTTCATGTAAAATCAAAATTCCTTGGGATCATTGATGTATATGTATTGCAATCGCAAAGAAATATTTCTAATTATGTCAAATTAATACGACAAAAAACTAGAAGTGCGAAAAAAGTAATTGATCGAAAACAAATAATCGCGAAGGATCCCCAATATAATCTATATAGACATACATATATCGCTCTTAAGTTACAAATTAAATATGGTCTCTTCGTACATACGTAAAAAAGAGATAAGGAAATATTTGTTTGCGTTCAGGATGTTACAGCTGGCGCGTTATACCGGCGAGGAGGCCCGTGCCAACTTCGGGTCAATCGCCGGGTCTGGCCATCCCAAGCACCAGTCGGGCAATCCCTATGCCAATCGGGAGCAGGAACGTGACGGATCAGGAAACCTGTTCGTCCCCAAGCTGGACCCACCCTCGGGGTTCTCCGACGCGTTTGAGCTAAGCGAGGCCGAATGCGACTTTGATCGCGGCACAACAGCCAACGAAACGTCCGTGACTTTGTAATCGCGGTGTAAATACGTATAAAAGTCTCCGATGAGATATACAAATCTCTTGTCGTAAAGTAAAAAAATGATAAAATGTGAAAGGAAAACTACGCGAAATCTATGTAAGCCGCGGTCCGTCGTTTCGTTAATTTGTATTGGCGCCTCGTGTCCGGCCCGTCAGTCATTTAGTAACAATTCCTTCAGTTCTGCTCGATGGGAACGCGTCGCTAAATGACGTCTCTCTATCAACTTGACGATGTGCATCGCGAGAGCCACCGGCTTTTGTGAAAAAAATAATATCAATCGAGATTATTCTCTCGGATCGGATTATTTAGTATATAAGCGCGTTAATACGATTAGGCAAACACACTGTGGCAGATTGATTATAACGAAGTTAAAGTTTAATAAAAGACAGAAAGAGTCTATATAAGCTGCCGTTGGTTCCACTCGATGGAACTTCGAAGGTTTTATGTCGCTGAGCGGAATGGCTCGAGCTGCATTGTTGTTTGTTCTATATAGTGGCAAAAATATACGATACGGGCGATGTCGCGAAATCGATGACAATTCGCAAAAAAAAAAAAAACTGGCCACATTTATTCCACTTCGTGTAATAATCCTAGTTAGTTAAAATGGCGGCGTAATCTGCGTCCATCTCGGATTTTTTCCCTCCGGCAACGATCTCTACACGAATACTCGCCACTGATACACACATACACACATACACACACACACATATACACTTCACAGTTTCTACAGTAATTATTACAATAGCGAAAGTATAAAGACGCGAAAACGCGCGACGACTGTAATTAAATGTAAAATTCTAATGGTAACTGCCATCTTACTACATATATAAAACGACCAACGACTGCGAAAAAATTTACAATCGACCAAAATATCCGCGAATCGAATCCTCCAGACTTTATCAAAGAGTCTAACGAGACTTGTATATGCATATCGAAACGCGAGCAATATGCGACTTCCGATCGTTTCCTTTGTCTTCCAATCATCCGGTCATCACAATCCGATTGAGCATTCATTCATCGCATAAACTGAAGAAAAAAACGCACTTTTCATCGATCTTCCACTTTTTCACGAAGAATATGTTAGTGTTTGAAGCGAAAAGGGGAAGTAATGTAATGCAATAAAGCCAGCTCGTTCGTCGTTGTCGTCGGTGTCGTTTCATCTTACTTACAAGAGGACTGAGAAGCATCGTAGCGGTTTACATGTGTCATTGATCGCGCGAAACTTGCATGCGTATATGTGGGTACTTTTCCAGCAATGTACACTGGATACCCGGTGAGAAATGATGGTCGAATCGACGTCGATTCGTTGTCGAATTGATGTCAAATTAGTCGAATCGATGACGATTCGCCAATCATTTCTCACTGGGTAGGAATCCGACATAACTCTTGACTCTCCTCCAAAAACTGAGAATATCTATGAGACTCTCCTATATAAAAAAAAATAACATTATTTAATGCAATGTGCGACCCAGTACTTCCAACTACGATACAAGTCGACACGATCGTATTAAAATGCTTTTGTGACACTCCATGGATACCAACATTTGGTACCATTTCTTTTTGCTAATAGTCTTTTTGCTGGAATGGTCTTGCAGGAAATAAGCTTTAAAAAAAACTTAAAACTTTTGAAAAAGCTATGTAAGTGACTGTCCTGCACTCTGGCAATGTCTTGTTTTAAGGATTGTGACCCCATCGCCTACGCGACTTACGGCCATCAACTGATAAAAGAAGATATATAAACTGTAAACATATCGTTTGTTAGTGTAAATTCCTCATTAAGAATTTCAAATTTTCTTTATAAATTGTAAACTGTCTAATTTAACTATCTAAATCTTAGATCCCAGATCTGAGGATACTTCCCAAAAAATATACTGTGCATCCCTGCCAAAAGCCTATTTCACCATTGCAGGATAAAGATATAGCGGGCGTTCTCTGCACAGTTGAAAGAAAAGAGTATCACGAACTAGCGCAGAATGAAGGGAGAGACAAAGAAATACACATATCTCTCCACTTCATTTCTCCCCATAACATAGCATTAGAAAGAGAAAGAAATCCGAATGCTTTCACTTTCTTTCCAATATTTAACAGTCTTTCTTGAGGGATGATGCGCAGTCTATCTCTATAAGTTATGGATAAAAATACGTCCGCACACGTCGCAAGATGCCAACGAACTCACTTCTGGCAGTAAAGAAACCGCAACAATCCAGCTATAAGTTACATGTGTATAACTGTGTTCCGTTGCTGGAAAGCATCTTCAGTAAAAATTGTACAAAGCCAAGAGAGAAAGAGTTATACTAATACTAGTATGATACTAATGAGAGAAAACTGTCGAACGGTGTGTGTGTCGACAAATGTCATGCGTGAAACCTAACCTAATATTAGTAAACGAATTATCGCACGTAGCGTTAAAAACATAACACACTGAAAACATAATGTGTAAGCTATCTATCACTACCCGCTATACCTCGCTCACACGAATCGTCCACTCACATTCGCGATATCCGAACCCTCTCCCCTCAGAAGAAATGAAAAAAGAAGAGAAAGAAAAACGCGTAATATGCGACGCGCGATGTCAGCCTACGTCGATTAACGATCGACGGACCCCAATGATGATGTCAGAAAATTTAGTTGCGAGAGCGAGAAAAGAGAGAGAGATAGAGAGAGAGTATGTGTGTGTGTGTGTGCGATCATCGCCACGCAGAAACGCAGCCTCCCTGATACCTATATGTTGCCATCGAATCAGTTCGACTGATGCTTCATTCCCCTCCTTCCTCCCTCCGTTGGTTGGGTCATCGTTCACACTCGGCCGGGTGATGATGATTTTTCCAGTCAGCCGTTAAAGTCGTTCGCGCTCGCTTCCTCCGTTATTTCCGGTTGTCGAGTCATCCGGCACGCAAGGTGGAGGATTAAAGCGAGAGGAGAGTCGCCCTGTTGATGATATATCGTCTATCTTTACGACACACGAAATGATTTACCACGAAATTCGTACTTTGTGTTTTAGACGACTTTAGATTGATTTTATTATTGTTTAAAAAAAAAAAAAAAATATACAATACTAATTCCATGTTTGGAAAAAATGTGTTTTTGTATTTATTTAACTCTCTTTTTCCTTAAAATGGGATTCTTATTTCGTAAAATACAATACTAATTCTATATTGAAATGTGGTATTCGTATTTATTTACTCATCTATTTTTTCTTTATCTTCTAAAAGTCTTTTATTACTCCTTATTGTTAATCTATATATATTCTACTGAAAACACATAAACAAATTTTTAAATCTTTAAAAAAAAAAAATCATATGTTAATTAAATTAATCAAACATAATTAAATTGCTTTAATTCATAATAAGTGGAAATATAATATAATTGATTGCTTTTAGCATCCAAGCCAAGAATAAAAAATTATTTGAAAAAAATAAAAATTAAAGCTTCTTATCTATATTTGTAAATTTTAATTCTCTTATATGCATCATCTTATTTTTTTTAAGGATACATTGTAAAATTGTTACTATACTTGCTTCACACATTTATATTTTCTATATGTTTTTATCCTCAATACTCTAGTAAGATCAAATTCAGAATGATATTAATCGTTATAGCGACGATCGTTAGTCCTGGGAGCAGCCGCGCAATCCTCGCAATTCGGATGTGTGTTTGTATATATATGTATAAACAAGAGTGTAAGAGTTCATCTAGGCATGCGCGGAGATTCCTCTCTCTTTTTAGATACTATGAGCGGTGGTTTGTCTACGGCGGTGGTAAGTACAGTGCTCTCCATAATTATTCCTCAGTTAGAAAGCGAAGTTTATCCCGCGACAATCCGTATAATCACTCTCGATTGTTACGTAGACGAGGTAGGTGCTATCATCTTCGACGTCGGACACCAGAGCCTCCGCGTGGGATATGGCGGCTGAGGGACACACCGAAGGCGAGATCCGACGACCCTCGGGGTGTGGGAGGAACCCGCCGATCCCGGCGGAATTGATTGCAACAACATCAACAGGAAACATTATAACATCGACGTCACGGCTATTCAAGTGCGAAAGAAGGGTATGTTGCCACATTTTTATTCATATATCATATTGCAAATATAACGTATATAAATCTTATGTTTATCTTCTCTTCTTATACATATGTACACACACACACACAACACACAATATATCTATATATAGTCATTATAGAAAATATTTATATAAAACAAATAAAATTAATAATTTAAAATGCACATAGCAATTATTTTTGATGAATTCATAATATTCCTTAACTCCTTTACAGTGTGGCAAGAATGAGATTTTCGTGCCATTAGTGTGTGAAAAAAAGTTTCTTAAATTTCCGTAATAATTTTTGTATCAAGATATTTAAAGTCGCTAAATCTGAATACGACATCAGAATTTCAAATTCAAAATGGCGAATCTAAAATATTGATACATGCATATTGATACAATAATTTTTGATAACATTTAAATAAATTATTATTTTTATGTTAGTCCTTTTAGCAAAGTTTGATTCTGCCATTTAGAATAACCAAATTCAGATATAAATAATTTTTGATATACTCATTTTTGTAACAATCCTAACCATTTTTTTCAAATTTTGATTCTTCTGTTAGAGCCGCTATTTAAAAATTTTTAATATTATATTCGGATTCAGCGACCTCAAAAAGCATATCAAGTTTCATACAAATCACAAAGGGTAATTTTTTTTTAATGTGCATATATGTATATTACACACTAGTGATACGTCTCTTTTCTGTACATATATGCTACATACACTGTGAAGGAGTTATTTTTATAGTATACTTAATAATCCCTAACATCACACATATATCCCAAAGACATTCAGAGAATATCCTGAGACTGTTCGAATGTCTTCTGGATATCCTCTAGATATTCTCTCAATGTTTTTCGGATATAGTGTGCTATTAGGAAAGTTATTTATAATATTAAAATATCTGATTTCGATTTAGATATGGAGATAGTGAGCTTGATGAAGGATGGCATGATCGAAGACTGGGACATGTTTGAACGATTGACCGAATACACGTACAAGCAACGGTTACATGCTTTAGCCGAACACCATCCGATCTTGATGACCGAGTGTCCGTGGAATACGAGATTGAAGCGCGAAAAAGTTACTGGAAC